CATGTTCCAGAAGCATTCTCTCCTGACGGTTCACCCACGTCTATGGCAGGCATCATCAGAGGTTGTGAAGTCTGTTGGAAACTTGGCAAATGAGGTTTATATATATACTAGCTTGGGGACCCGGCAGTGCCCAAGTTTGCTGTATGCTATAGGAAAGAGTAGTAAAGGGTTAAGGGAAAGGCAGTGGGCGGGGTTATGCAAACCCCATACCAATGGAGAGAGAGAAAGGAACCCTGGGATGTTCATTCTGTAGAAAAAACAGAACATCTAGGATGAAATTGTTCCCAAATAAAAGCATTTCTTGGGTGGTGGGCATTATGGTGTTTGGGCAGGAGTTTGGCAGGGTTTGGGAGACATATTCATGATCCGTACCCTGAAATGTCTTTGGAGGGAGGGCTTTTGGTGGCTCTTCAGCACTGTGGGGTATAGCTCTTTGTGGAGGTGGGAGGTTGTCTGTGTAAGTGAACACCTCTGCCACATACACATATACACAATTTTCACTTTTATTATGTGTATAGATAGATCTGTGGAATAATGTTCAGGGTGGGAGAAAGAACTCTTGTCTGTTGGAGGCAAGTGGGAATGTTGACATTGGTCAGCTTGATTAGCATTGAATGGCCTTGCAGCTTCAAAGCCTGTCTGCTTCTTGTCTGGGGGAATCTTTTGTTAGAATGCATTAGCTGGCCTTGATTGTATCCTGTGTGGCATCCCCCTGTTTTATAAACAGACCTTACAATAGATATATAAACCTCACTTGCCTAGTTTCCAATAGACTTCACAACCCCTGAGGATGCCTGCCATAGATGTTGGCGAAACATCAGGAGATAATGCTTCTGGAACATAGCCATGCAACCTGGAAAACTCACAGCAACCTAGTGATTCCAGCAATGAAAGCCTTTGACAACACATTTAATAATAATAATAATAATAATAATAATAATAATAATAATAATAATAATTCCTCACAATTTTAGCTAGCCATATTTAGCACAAACTACACTTTGCCTTGGCTGAGATGTCATGGCAAACGGCACTTCATCACAAACAGTTTCTGAGCCCGAAGTCATACTGGAGGACTCCATCCACACTATCGAATACTGTATTTGTATACTGCCCTTCTGAGCCCTCAGGCGACTCAGGGCGGTTTAGAGAGGCAACGATTCGATGCCCAATACACCTTAAAACATTTTAAAGCATGAACACATAGTATAAAACCATAACAATAGTATTAAAAACATACATCAATTACGTATCCTAATAAAAACATTGTCCAGTCTCATTGTCCAGTCGTTCCAATTCCTATGTCATTTACTTTGCATTTTCAAACACTTGTTCAAACAACCAAGTCTTGACTCTTTCCCTAAATGTTAAGAGGGAGGGGGCCGACCTAATGTCCCCAGGAAGTTTGAATGCAGTTTGACCCCACTTTCCATGCTGTGGGTCAATGTGATGGAATTGTCAGAGTTGTAGTTCAACAAGCCCTTTAGTGCTGATGCCTCACCAAACGACAGCTGTTAGGATCCCATCACATTGACCCACAGTGGTGAAAGTACTGTTAAACTGCATTCGTTTGACAATGTAGATGCACCTTTAGGCCCAAAAGTTGGTCTTCAGAACATTCAACTTTGTGAAATTTGTAAACCTCTGGTTCCTGACCGCAAGGAGGTTGCTCTGGAGCCCAACCTCAAACCTTTTTGGCAGGAGATCAGTTTTTAAATCAATTCTCTCCCCGTTAAATGGACCTAACTGGAAGCCCTGATGTGTTTCCTTTCAGTCTTGATCCTTGCTGTTGTCTCAATGTAATGGCATGCCTTCCCTGCAATCCCAACAACCTTTTGCAAGAAAATGCCTTTCTCCTGAGCTCTCAAGGCATTTATTTAATATATCAGATTCACTTTGGCTTTAAGAGCAGGGCCTGGCTGCTGAATAAAAAAGCAGGGGGTCTAAGTCCATTAGCTAAATTGATGGAAGATTTGCACCACGTTCAACCAGGCGAAGCGGGAGTCTTTTTTGTATCCCACATCTCCGGATAAAGCGAGGCAGGGAATAGCAATTTCAGGCACGTAACAAATTGCATGTTTCACTTTCTTGACCTACAAAGAATAATGTCTAGTGAGGGAGGCTAAAGAAATGACATTATTCAAAGACACTTGCACCAAGCTGACATTGATTCCCTTGTGGGGTTATCAAAATTGTTAGTCTTGCTCTACATGGTGTAATAGCTATATTTTTAAATTTATGCCTGGTTCAACATTTCCTTCTGGGTAAGAAACAAATAATAATGGGAGCTATTGTCGAAGGCTTTCATGGCTGAAATCACTGGGTTGCTGTGAGTTTTCCGGACTGTATGCCATGTTCCAGAAGCATTCTCTCCTGACGTTTCACCCACATCTATGGCAGGCATCCTCAGAGGTTGTGAGGTCTGTCTGCTGGAAACTAGACAAGTGAGGTTTATATATCTATGGAATGTCCAGGGTGGGAGAAAGAACTGTTGTCTGTTGGAGGCTAGTGGGAATGTTGACATTGGCCAGCTTGATTAGCATTGAATGGCCTTGCAGCTTCAAAGCCTGGCTGCTTCCTGCCTGGGGGAATTTTTAGTTGGGAGGTGTTAACTGCCCCTGATTGTTTCCTGTCTGGAATTCCCCTGTTTTTTGAGTGTTGTATTTTGTTTACTGTCCTGATTTTAGAGTTTTTAAAATACTGGTAGCAAGATTTTGTTCATTTTCATGATTTCCTCCTTTCTGTTGATATTGTCCATACGCTTGTGGATTTCAGTGGCTTCTCTGTGTAGCCTGACATGATGGTTGTTAGAGTGGTCCAGCAACATTATAGAGTCGTCTCCCACCCTGGACATTATTCCTCACACATATGAACCCCACCTGTCTAGTTTCCAACAGACCTCACAACCTCTGAGGATGCCTGCCATAGATGTAGGTGAAACATAAACAGAGAATACTTCTGGAACATGGCTAGACAGCCTGGAAAACTCACAGCAACCCAATAATGGGAGCTCTCAATGCCAGCTTGGGAATGGAAGGCATTCTAAATGTTACAGCTATAGCTACATCACCCAGAAAATCAAAACATGATTCGCCTACAGAGTCCAGTTTGCTCCCGAGAAAGTTAGGGTTTGGCAGAGCTTTGAAAGCTTTTTTTGGACAGGGGAGGTCAGTTCCTGGAATCCTGCAGCTTGCCTGCTGGGGAAATCTATTTCAGTCTGAAGAAAGAAAGAAAGCTTCCATGGTCTGAAATGTGGCACTCGCGTGATCCCAGATTACTAGAAAAGTCTGAAACGGTAGTACGCCTGACAGTTAAAACACAGTCCAGTGGAGTCTCCTTCTCTGGGGGTTTCTAAACAGAGGCTCGACGGCCATCTGTTGGGAGTGCTTTATTTGTGAGTTCTTACCTGGCAGAAAGGGGTTAGATTGGATGGCCCTTGGAGTCCCTTCCAACTGTGTGATTCTAAAAATTAGGAAGAACTTTCTGGTGGTAATAATAATAATAATAATAATAATAATAATAATAATACACTTTATTTATATTCTGCTCTATCTCCCCGAGGGGATTCAGAGCGGATTACAGTATAAATATATATAGGTAAACATTCAATGTCATTATACAGTGAACTGTGGCATCCAATACATAAACAAAGTCAAAGGTTTCCCTTTCCATCTCCAGCATCTGGAGGCAATCCTCAACTCTGCCCATGGGGAGGTTCTCTTGTCCCATTTTCCATGCTGAGGAGTCTCTTGTCCGTAGACCCTCTTGGTCATGTTTGACAGCATGGCTACATGGGGGCCTTTTACCTTCCCACCGAAGCGGTACCTATTGATCTACTCACATTTCATCTTTTTGAATTGCTAGGTTGGCAGGAACTAGGGCTGACAGTGGGGGGGGGGGTTGCGAGGGGGTGTCAAGGGGTCACCAAAGACCATCAGAAAACACAGTATTTTCTGTTGGTCATGGGGGTTCTGTGTGGGAAGTTTGGCCCAATTCTATTTTTGGTGGGGTTCAGAATGATCTTTGATTGTAGGTGAACTATAAATCCCAGCAACTATAACTCCCAAATGCCAAGGTCTGTTTTCCCCAAACTCCGCCAGTGTTCACATTTGGGTATATTGAATATCCGTGTCAAGTTTGGTCCAGATCCATCATTGTTGGAGTCCACAGTGCTCTCTGAATGTAGGTGAATTACAACTTCCAAATCATGAAATCACCCCCCCCCCCCAACCCCACGAGTATTCAAATTTGGGTGTATCAGGTATTTGAGCCAAATTTGGTCCAGTGAATGAAATTACATCCTGCATATTTACATTACGATTAACAGTAGTAGCAAAATTACAGTTATGAAGTAGCGACGAAAATAATTTTATGCTTGGGGGTCACCACAACATGAGGAACTGTGTTTAGGGGTTGTGGCATTAAGAAGATTGAGAACCACTGATTTAGAATCATCCAAACACATATTAAACATCATGTTGGGCTGTAAGGATTTTGTTGTCGTCTTTTGTCTTGGCCATCGAAAGGCCAACCTGTCTTGTTATAAATCTGTTTGGTCATTATAAGCACTATAGGAGAGGCTCTTTTGATCATTGAATTTTCTCCCAGGGTAAATAGAAGAAAGCTTTCTCCTACTTCAAATGGTTTTTTAAACTCATTTGAATTGCCTTGTTTTCACTTGTCTAAGGTTTCATAGGCTTTTTTTGCTTTCTACTTGATTTCTCCTGTTCAATAAGCAGCGATGCCATTCTAAGTCCTCCATCCACCCACTCATCCCCCTTTTTTAAAAAAAGTTTTAAAAATGGTATGCAATGTGTAGTTTCTGTTACATTGCTTCAGAGTTGCTAGGCTCAAAGTATAACTTTAACAGGAATGTTAATTTTAGATGAGTCTCCTGCGTGTTGACAATGGCTTTTGCAAAGTGTTAAGAAAATGACCAGGAATAGAAATGAGAAGATGAGAATAGTGTGTGATTATCTTTCCTATTTTTTTATTTACAGGCTGGCCCTACCCTTAGGCAGAGCAAGGCGCTTGTCATGAAAGGGCCAAAAAATGGTTAGTGATTTATTTTGTTAGGTTTTTACTGGTCTGGGTGGAGGGATTTTCTGCTGCCGCTGATAGAAGAAGACTTCAGAAGCACTGATAGCGGATTGTTGCAGAACTCGCTGTCCCACTCATGGTTTTATGCCTTGTTTTTCTTCTTAAGCATCTGCCGGCGTTGGCTGCTACGCCACGGAGCTGGCAAGCGCATCATGACAACATGGGCCTCTGATGGGTCTGCTGCCGAGACGCTTGTTTTCCACGATGTGCCATTCCCCCCGAGTTTGGAGTCTCCTGACGTCCCGCTTGGCTTTTTCCTGCTGACCCTTCACTGCGCTGGGAGATGGATTCCTTTGTGGTGGTCACAGAGTACAATCCGGTGTCTGGTCCCCCGCAGAGTGAATTGGAGGATGAAGAGCCCATGGAGCCATGCGAAGAGCAGCTGGAGGATTCTGGAGGACTGGGAGCAAAGGGCTTTCTTGAAGAACCTCTTGGGACCCCTTCGAGAGAGGCAAGGGAGCCCCGTGGCAAACTCAACCTTTCGAGTCGCAAGCTCTCTCTCCAGGAGAGGTCTCAGTCGGTCCAGTCGCCCGGGGGCAACGCGGGAGTCAACGGACGCTACATCTATCCATCTCTCCCATATTCTCCCGTTACGTCGCCCCATTCTTCTCCCCGTTTGCCGCGGCGGCCAACCATCGAATCGCACAGAGTTTCCATTACAGGTTTGCAGGTAAGAGAATTGATAGACACATGTATGGGTTACACCATTTTGGAAATGCTGCCTAATCATTTTGGGCCGGGAAAATTGGGTTTATATATCTGTGGAAACTCCCAAGATGGAGTTTCCACAGATATATAAACCCAATTTTCCTGGTTTCCAACAGACTTCACAACCTCTGAGGATGCCTGCCATAGATGCAGGCAAAATGTCAGGAGAGAAAGCTTTTGGAACATGGCCATTCAGCCCAAAAACCTACAACAGCCCAGTGGGCTGCAAATTGTTCCGTCCCTCACATCACTTGGGTCGACTAGGAGAGGGCTCAGAGAGACACAAGGTCCACAACATCCATTGCCTGTTGCCTATTGCCCTGGCCTTTGCCAGGGACGGTGGTATCACTCTCTGGCACTAGGAGAAAAAAAATCTACTGGGCTTCGCTATCAAAAAGTTTGAGAAGCACAGCTTTATAGCACATGGGATTTGAGCACCCTCTGCAGACTGTTGAGGAAATAGCGGTATAATATACTGAGGGGCATGTTAGTGGCGATGGATTCACTCCCAGGGCCCTTCCACACAGCCATATAACCCAGAATATCAGGATAAAAAAATCCCACAATATCTGCTTTGAACTGGGATATCTGAGTCCACACTGCCATATATTCCAGTTCAAAGCAGATTATGTGGGATTGTATTCAGATGTGAAAGGGGCCCCAGTGTGTTTTGAACAAAGTCACAGTTGAGAGGTGCGTTAAATGCTCTCTCCTGTGCTTTAGTGCTGTTCAGTATACCTTGGGACTCATTCCATAGTTACATAAGAAAATCTAAGTGTGTTTCTGTCTCTGTGTGGAAAGAAACAACCCTGAGATGGTTTTGATTGTTTGGTGGCTTTTTGTGGTGTTGCATTGACCTGTTAGAAAGGGCTGCTGGTAGCCTGAAGACTTCTGCCCATCCCGAGTCCCTATATCCAGTCCTGCCAGTTTGAACCACTATATATGAATCATTGTTTTCCTGCTGATGTTGGGAAAGGGGCTGTGCTGGTTTCATGGCAGTTTCAGGGAGCTGTGGGCAGGAGAAGAATGATGAAGAAAAGGTGATGTTCTTCTGCCAGTGCTATATGGGATCTCAGGTTCTGTGGCAAGGGTGGTGGATGAAAATCCGCAAGGTGGGTGGCGCAGAGGCACCCCACACTGCTTTTCCTCAATTATGCATCAGAAGGCAAGATGCACTTACGCTAATGCCTCCTGGCTGCTGGCATGGCGTCTCCACATGTTTTGCTCTATAGAGGAGAAAGTCAAGCACGGAGGCAAGGAAAACATTGAGGTTGGGGGTGGCGAGCAAGCCTTCAGCTACCCAATAATTACTGTGTGGGCAGGTAGGCTACAGTTCCTTTCAACGACTCCTTCACTGGCATTTAGACTTGCCTTTATTTAGCTTGAGGGTGGGAGTAGAGCCACAGAAAGAGAGCAGAGGGCATACTTGATGGGGCTCGCAGGTTGCTATATCCCCAGGGTTGTTTTTGTGGCATCCAGTTGTCAATTTCTTGAAGACAATTTGCTCCCAAATGCTTTTTAGGAGGTGAACACATCTCCTTCATGCTTGGAGTCCCTAAGGGGTCAATTTGTTGAAACCAAAACATCTTCTAGGGGATGTGGGATGCATTTCTACAACATTTGAGCAACCGTTGGTTCATTTAGACCAGGCATGGCCATTTTTTTTGCCTTGGGGCCGCAGTGTGAGCCAGGTCAGGAGGAGGTGGGGCTGGGCACACACTGGGTGGAGAGGGCCCAAGAGAGGGCAGGCCCAGGAAAGGGCAGGTCATGGCCCGGGTGATCCTCAGGTTGTCCTCCCAGCATAAGGACGGGGCTGCTTGCCCCATCTTTATGCTGGGAGGAAGGCGGGGCACATGGCAACTGCACCAATCCTCCTCGCCCAATACTTGGGCTACCCTCTTGGCATTATGCCGGGAGGAAGGCAAGACAGGCGGTGGCTGAGAGTGCTCTGGGGGCCTCCCAGCCACTGCGTGCCTTCCTCGAGCTGCCCTCCCAGCCTAAGAATGGGGCTGCTCGCACCACCCTTATGCCGAGAGGAGGACAAGATACACGGTGGCGAGAGCGCTCGAGCGGGCTCTTGGCTGCTACACGCTTTCCTCCCCCATCTTTTTGCCATAAGGACATGGCAGGCTGCTGTGTCCTTCTGCCAAGAGGACAGGAAAAATGAGGAGAGCCTGAGGTAAGCACCCAAGGGGGGCATCTGGCCCCCAGGCCTTAGTTTGCCCATGCCTGATTTAGGTCCATGACAGGTGTCTTGAAAATGAGAAGGGAACAGGAGATGAATTCTGCTCATTTCCTGTTAGAAAAAAGCCTCTCTTGGACCTAAAATGACAGAAGAAAGCCCCAAAGCATGTTGAGAATGGTCCCCAAAGGGTATTTGGGGGCCAAAAACGTTTTGTCTTGTCTTGTCAAAGGATTTCAGGGCTGGAATCACTGGGTTGCTGTGAGTTTTTTGGGTTGTCTGGCCATGTTTCAGAAGCGTTCTCTCCTGACATTTCACCGACATCTATGGTAGTCATCTTCATAGGTTGTGAGGTCTGTTGGAAACTAGGCAAGTGGGGTTATATTGTGGAATAATGTCCAAGGTGGGAGAAAGAACTTTTGTCTGTTGGAGGCAAGTACGAATGTTGCAATTGGCCAGCTTGATTAGCATTGAATGGCCTTGCAGCTTCAAAGCCTGGCTGCTTCCTCCCTGGGGGAATCCTTTGTTGGGAGATGTTAGGTGGCCCTGATTGTTTCCTGTCTGTAATTCCCCTGTTTTTTAAGTGTTGCTCTTTGTTTACTGTCCTGATTTTAGAGGGCTTTTTAAATACTGGTAGCCAGATTTTGTTTATTTTCATGGTTTCCTCTTTCCTGTTGGAATTGTGCTTATGGATTTCAGTGGCTTCTCTGTGTAGTCTGACATGGTGGTTGCAAGAGTGGCCCAGCATTTCTGTGCTCTCAAATAATATGCTGTGTTTAGGTTGGTTCATCAGGTGCTCTGCTATGGTTAACTTCTCTGGTTGACTTAGTCTGCAATGCCTTTCATGTTCCTTGATTCATGTTTGGGCATTGCAGCTACCTTTGGGGGCTTCTGTGTAGACTTGTCCATAGCTGCATGGTATATGGTAAACTCCTGCAGAGATGAGAGGACCCTTCTTGTTCTTTGCTGAACATAGCATTTGTTGGATTTTTTTAGTGGGTCAAGGAACATGAAATGCAGACTACCCAGAGCAGCCGTTGAAATCCATAAGCCTCTGGACAATTTTAACAGAAAGGAGGAAACCATGAAAATGAACAAAATCTGTCTAGCAGTGTGAAAAAACTCTAGAATCAGGACAGTAAATAAAGAACAACACTCAGAAAACAGGAATTCCAGACACGAAACAATCAGGGCCAGCTAACACATCCCAACAAAGGATTCCCTCAGGCAGGAAGCAGGCGAGCTTTGAAGCTACAAGGCCATTCAATGCTAATCGAGCTGTTCAATGGCAACATTCACACTTGCCTCCAGCAGAAAAGAGTTCTTTCTCCCACCCTGGACATAATTCCACAGGTATCCAATTCTCACTTGCCTAGTTTCCAACAGACCTTATAACCTTTGCGATTGCCCACCATAGATGTGGGCAAAACGTCGGGAGAGAATGCTTCTGGAACAGGGCCAGACAGCCTGGAAAACTCACAGAAACCTAGTTTTGTCTTGTTTTCGCCTTCCACAGTTGCCCACTCCATTCTAGTGAGCCAAAGAGCATCAGCTTATGTTGTCCTCATTTCCAAAACTTTACTCCTTGCCAAAAGAGATTAAAGGCAGCAAAGGGTGCCTTTGGAGATGTATTCTGGGATTATCTTCTCCCTGCCTCCAGCTAGAAAGATTGCACTCTTTTTGGAACTGCAGATGCTCATCCTGTTTCCGGAATGCAGCCTGCCAAGTTGTTGGCAAACGGGGCTTGTGATCAAATCTAAATGGAGGATATTTAACATCTGGAGAATGTGGACACTGAGGTGTGAACCTAGCAACCTGAGATCCATCCATTGCCCAGCCATGTATATCCTTAGATATAGCAGTTGACAAAGCAGTGGACAAAAGATAGAAAATGAGAATGCAAACACAGAAGTATCTCAGGTTTTGAACAACTGCTGATCGGAATCTGGGATTGGGAATGTTGGCATCCAGGAAGTTTGGGGCAGGTCACCAAACTCCTTTTGGCATCTGTCATGTTCTAGCTCTTCAGTATCCAGTTGGTAGTTTTTGATGCTTTCTTTTAACCTACAGTTACTCAACCCCGAATGTTTTGAGTGAATTCAATGGGGAAATATGTCTGTGAGTAAGAGAGATGTGGGAGTGAGAGAAGGAAACCGTCCAAGAATACATACCTCATCTTGCTTGGTTCCATGCCCAAATTCTGTTTGGAGGGCCTGGCAAAGTAAACTCAAAGAAAACCCAGGTGGTTCGTTGTTCAACAGACAGTGATCTCATGACAAAGAGTGAACCCAAGTGGCTCCTGGCCCCATTTTTGGACTCCTGAAACCCCCTTCCAGTCCTCCAATGCTCCATAAGCCAACTGCCAAACTTGTTAGGATGTTTTGGGGGTATTTTTAAGTGCCCCTTATGCGTGGAGAGCTGCCTAATATATTAAAACAAACAGACCCTATGTAGTTGCTCACCTCGACCTCTGGTCCTGACTCTCGAAAGTCTGCCTAGTGCCATATTGTGGTTTGGTGGATGATGGTACTGCTTTGTGCACCTGGCAGATTGGAAATGGCTGGCCCTCTCCCTGGGGCCTGCTTGAACCTAGGATCTGATGGGGGTAATCCAGTTGATTAATAAGCAATCAGCCCCATGAAAGCCTGCTCAATATTTTCTTCCTCGGCAGCAATTTCCTGGTGAATCCCAGGGGAAGGGTGTCTTAAAACATTGCAATAATTCAGCTGAAAATACTTTCCACTCATAGCTGGTTTATACACACTCCTCTCAATCTGCAGAGATTCTGGATGAGGTAGAGTATAATATAGACCATTCTTTCTTGCCCCAGATCTCCTGATTCATTGGATTGCACCTTTGCTCGTCCCCAACATTGTCCAAGATGCACTTCAGGAAGAATATCTATTTCAATTGGGAAGAGAGAATGTGGGCAAAAGTTTCCTGAAAAGGGGGGGAGGGGTGTGATCCTCAATTCTCAGAATTCCCCCAGTCAATATGGGCAGTGATCATGTGGTTTGGGGTGGATTCTGGGACTTGCGATCCCAAAGGAGAACACGCTGCCTCCGTTCATGCTTTCATTTTGCTTCTAACCCAGCGTTTCTCAACCTGGGGGTTGGGACCCCGGTGGGGTTGCGAGAGGGTTTCAGAGGGGTCGCCAAAACCCATCAGAAAATATGTGTTTCTAATGGTCTTAGGAACCCCTTTGGCAGAGAAGGCTGAAGATCTCCCTGTCTGTCCTTCTTTTCCTTTTTGGAAACAGAGGGCTAATGCTCCCATCAAAAGCTCTCCTTTGCTGTGATTGGCTGGCCTCTCAGCTGGTTTCTCAGCCAAGGGAAGGGCTGTTTCTGAGACTCCAAGCAGGGAGGGGAGAGCAGGCATGCATGGAACACGTGGCAGCGTGGTGCACATGTGCAGGTGAGGGAGAGCGTGTGAGACTGGAGAGAGGCTCGCATCAGCGAGTCCCTTCAAGGCTTGGGGGTTCTGTGGGGGAAGTTTGGCCCAATTCTATCATTGGTGGGGTTCAGAATGCTCTTTGATTGTAGGTGAACTATAAATCCCAGCAATTACAACTCCCAAATGTCAAAGGCTATTTTCCCTAAACTCCACCAGTGTTCACATTTGGGCATGTCGAGTATTCATGCCAAGTTTGGTCCAAATCCATCATTTTTTGAGTCCACAGTGCTCTCTGGATGTAGGTGAACTACAACTCCCAAACTCAAGGTCAATGCCCACCAAACCTTTCCAGTATTTTCTGTTGGTCATGGGAGTTCTGTGTGCCAAGTTTGGTTCAATTCTATCATTGGTGAAGTTCAGAATGCTCTTTGATTGTAGGTAAACTATAAATCCCATCAACTACAACTCCCAAATGACAAAATCTATCTCCTCCCCAACCTCACCAGTATTCAAATTTGGGCGTATTGGGTATTTGTGCCAAATTTGGTCCAGTGAATGAAAATACATCCTGCATATCAGATATTAGCCTGACGATTCATAACAGTAGCAAAATTACAGTTGTGAAATAGCAACGAAAATAATTTTATGGTTGAGGATCACCACAACATGAGGAACTGTATTAAGGGGTTGCGGCATTAGGAAGGCTGAGAAACACTGTCCTAACAGATCCTTTCCTTTCTCCTTCTAGGACTGCGTGCAGCTCAACCAGTACACCCTGAAAGATGAAATTGGAAAGGTGATTTAAAAAAAGACCTTGCAAACATGGCACATATGTATATGGACTGGGAATTGGAATTATAAGTGCATGTGCTGGGGCCAAGGAGTTGAAAGAAAGGGCAGATAGACATAGAATTGTCAAGTGGATGGTAGGTTAGCGGCTTGGCTTAGTTCCAGATTCATTTTGTGCTTGCTATTTGAATTCAGCAAGACAGCCCAGTTTTGGGCTATAAACACTGGAAAGGGCTCGTTTTCTGCCTCTGCTCTCTCTGGCCATTCCCAGGGCCCTTCCACACAGCTATATAACCCAGAATTTCAAGGCATAAAATCCCACAATATCTGCTTTGAACTGGGTATCTGAGTCCACACTGCCATATATTCCAGCTCAAAGCAGAAGACTTGGGATTTTATTCAGCTGTGTGGAAGGGGCCCCAGACAGCATATTGGAAAGCTCCAGCAGTCAATGCCATTTCCGCATGTGCAAAGGTTTGAAATAGTTTTACCTGGTTTATCATTGTTCTGTTTTAAGCATTTAAAGATGTAGTGTGCTTCCAGCCTTTTGAAATACTTTGTATTAATTTAAACTGAGCTTACTGCATTCTGCTCTGCGATCCCCAGGGTGCTTACAGAGAGCACCAAATTGTGGGTTTTAGTCAGGGGACAAAAAACCCGGGACCTGAGAGAAGGTCCACATACAGACCTGTTGGCCCCAGGATTTCTGCCTATGTCTTCCACACTTGCTTCTTGGTTTTGGGGTTTAGAGGCTCCCAAGATGGCTGCTGTGGACAACCACCAGAAAATTCAGCGTAAAAAAGAAACTTAAGATGGGAATATGTGAATATGTGAATCATTGTATAAGTGGGTTATTGTGAGTTTTCTGAGCTGTTTGACCACGGTCTAGAAGCATTCTCTCCTGACGTTTTGTCTGCATCTATGGCAGGCATCCTCAGAGGTTGCGAGGATGCCTGCCAACTTAAAAGAGGTGAAACATCAGGAGAGAATGCTTCTGGAACATGGCCATACAGCCATACAGCCTGGAAAACTCACAACACCCCAGTATTCCAGCCATGAAAGACTTTGACAATACATTGTATAAGTTCCGTTCCTGAGTTATAGAGGCTGCATAACCATCTGTGCAGGCAAGTTTGGCTGTGTACTTGTGTCTGGGTTTTATCCATGTCTGTTCCTGATTACTGTTATTGTGAAAAGATGTACAACGTTGACTACAGGGTGACAACTTTGTCCTGACAAGAAAAACTTTGCCATCCATACCTTTAATGAAGTTTCTGGCACACAAACAAGATTTATGGAGTAGGACCACTACTTTTGAAGGGCGTACTACACAATCAAACAGGAACACACACTTTAAAGCCAGGAACAGAACTTAGTCATTATTACCACTTTTAGAGGCTGCCTCGCCATCTGTGCAGACAGGTTTTGTGGTGTACTTGTGCCTGGGAACAACGGGGTGATGTTCCTGGGTTAGACATGTCTCTTATTTATTCATTTATTTATTTACTATATTTGTATACCGCCTTTCTCAGCCTATTGGCAACTCTTCCTCATGCTTTTATCATAAACACATGGGGAAAGTCGATTATGTGGCAAAACCTTTGTTTGTGTGTCACAAACTTTATCAAACATGTGGAGGATGAAGTTTCTCTTGCTAGGATAAAGCTTTCACCCTATAGTCAACTACTGCCATGTTTTTAGGATACAACCATCCAGGAACTGACATGTATAACCCAGGAAAAAACCAACATAAAAAATTCTCGTATTTTCTGAGTGTAGGAACATACAGATATTTGAAGATACACATTAGGGCTGGGCAACCACGGAAAAATTTGTTTCTAAACTCGATTCGTTTTTAGGGGGTTTTTGTGTTTCGATTTTTAAAAGAATTCTGAACATTTTCTTTAAAAAAGTTCGAAATTTACGAAATTTTGGAAATTACGAAACAATTACGAAACAATTACGAAACGAATTGAAAAATTCGTTTCGATTTTTAGTTGCTCCTGAATGGTTCAATATCGCTTCGTTATAAAAAAAATAACGAATTAATAACGAATTACGAAATTAACGAACGAAACCGCCCAGCCCTAATACACATTTTCGGGCCAGAACAGAGATATTTTTGCACCTGAAAATCTCATGTTGTTTTGGTCTTTGTAGCGATTGGCCCGTGTTTTCAGGGAATGGCATCTGGCCACCCTCCATTTTGAAACTGTCTGGACGGCCCTCAGATGTAGTGTATAAATATTTGACTGCTATTCTTGATTTTATGAGTGATGGTTCCCTTATAATATTTGGTGGGTTTTTCTCTCTCCCATTTCGGTAGGGCTCCTATGGAGTTGTGAAGCTGGCTTACAATGAGAACGATAACACCTACTATGTGAGTAACAGCGAGGCAATGCGTGGTAAAGCCGGTCACGGCGACATAAGCAGAAAAGTCAGCAGCAAGAGGAGACAAGGCAACAGGATAGGAAGATTGGAGTGTGAGGCATTACAGGAGCTGCGTTCCGATCTAGCCCACTTCCTGCATAGTTTAGTCATTGTTTCATTCTCTTGGATCATTCCCTGTACAAACAGTTTGGGAAAAGCGTGTGACACAAACCTGAAATTTCGCAAAACATGAGTGTTGAACAGCAATAATAAAACAACATGAATCAACCAAAGACGAACCAAGACATGCCAGGAGTGCGACTTGAAAACATTTACAATTTACCGTCTGTATTTCCCTGCTCTTTTCTGCTTAAATGTCTCTGAAAACCGCACTTGAACCTGGTGCTGATTTAGGGCCCTTCCACATAGTCATATAATCCAGAATAGCAAGGTGGATAATCCACAATGGGTTATCTGAGCCCACACTGCCATACACCCCAGTTCAAAGCGGCAGTTCAAAAGGCTTTAGCTTTACCTTCATTGCTTCTGATTTAACTTGTTCTCTCTTTAAAGGTGAGGAAAGAAAATTAAATTGTAAACCCTAGAGCTCTGCAGAGAGTTGGGAATCATTGTTTATTTGTTCAGTTGCTTCCGACCTCATGGACCAGCCCACGCCAGAGCTCCCTGTCCACTGTGGCCACCCCCAACTCCTTCAAGGTCAAGCCAGTCACTTCAAGGATAACATCCATTCATCTTGCCCTTGGTTGGCCCCTCTTCCTTTTTCCTCTCATTTTCCCCAGCATCATTATCTCCTCCAAGCCTTCCTGTCTTCTCATTATGTGGCTTCATCTTTGTACTCATGAAGTACTTATGAAGTACTCATTAAGTACTTCATCTTTGCCTCTAATATCTTTGTTTTTGATCATGCCCATTTTTGCCTGAAATTTACGTCTGATGTTTCTAATTTTCTGGAAGAGGTCTCTTGTCCTTCCTATTCTATTGTCTTCTTCCACTTCCATGCATTGCTTGTTTAAAAATAGTTCCTTATCTATTCTGGCTAACCTCAGGATTTGTGCATTTAATTGGGCATATGTCCCCGCATCACTGTTTCCTTTTGCTTTCCTTATTTCTTGGGCTGCTTCCAGTGTCTCTGCAGACAACCATCTTGCCTTCTTGGTTTTCTTTTTCTTTGGGACGTACTTTGTTGTCACCTCCTGAACAATGTTGCGGACTTCTGTCCATAGTTCTTTGGGTACTCTATTTATTAAGTCTATTCTTCACCTCCACTGCATATTCACTAGGAATATTTGTGAGATCATATCTAACTGGTCTGTGTGTTTTCCCTAATCTCTTTAATCTGATTCTAAATTTTGCAATAAAAAGTTTGTGATTTGAACTACAGTCAGCTCCAGGCCTTGTTTTCACCGACTGGATGGATGTCTGCCACCTTTGACTGCAAAGTATATAGTCTGATTTCAGTGATGACAATCTGGTGAAGTCTATGTATAAATCCATCTTTTAGGTTGTTGGAAGAGAGTGTTCATTATACACAGTGAGTTTTCCTGGCAAAATTCTATCAGCCCTATAGTGCACTGATCTTTAGAACATCGGATTAGTAATTTACCTTCAGCGCCGTTGGCTGCTAGACTTCCTTTTGGCTTTCAGCTAGCTGCATCATCACATCTGAGGTTAGTTTAGCTTATCCTCTGCTACTCCCCAGTAGTATTTTGACCATCTTTTGACCCAGAAGTCCCATCTTCCGATTGCATACTGACATATCTCTGGTTGTACTGATCCATTTAGTTTTCATTGCGAGAATACTGGGGTGGGTTGCCATTACCTTCCCCAGGGATCATATTTAGTCTGACTTCTCTGCCATGACCTTCCTTCCAGCAAAGGATTGTTACCTTGTTGCGGTGCTGGAGCCTGAGCACCTCAATGGCGCCACTAGTGAAACCGTGAAGAGTTGGCGTCAGGAGTAGGGAAATGATAATTAGGCCTTGGTTTGTGTCCGTTTATCTTCCCTGTTCTCAGAGTGATTCTGGTTCTTTTCAACACTTAAAATATGGAGAAGGGTGGAGTGTTTGTATATTGGGGCAACCCAGTATCCACATGACAGAAAGTGTTTTCCTGGCTTCGTTTTGAGGCTCTCCAATGGTTTGCTGAGCCCATGGAGTGACCTTGGTGCCCTTTTATCTTGCAGGCAATGAAAGTCCTTTCCAAAAAGAAACTGATGAGACAAGCAGGGTTCCCGCGTAAGTGAGAGTGGCTGTTGTCATTATTGCATTCATTTCTTAAATCTTGCATTTCCTCCTCATCCCCTGGACTCTTGGTTTACTAAAGTGAAAACAAATATAGTTAAGGCTGCTGGATCTACACTACCAAGTCATGCAGTTTGAACTGCATTGTATGGGTCTACACTGACCATTTAAACTGCATTAGTTGGCAATGGAGATCCAGCCTAAAGTTAAGACGCAGTTTGGGCAATGGAATTCAGAGCATCAAAACAGGAAAATTAAGCAACAGACAATCTTTAAAGGCCCTTTCCTCCGCCACCACCAATTCTGGAAGGCCTGCTGACACATATAAGTTCTCATACATACAAAAGGATAGCAAAGAAGGAACCAGCTTAGCCTGTAGTCCAGGAATCTCTCTTGAGCCCAACTGATGATGGTAGGCTCATACATCATGGAAGTTGGCCTAGAGCCACACTGGAGAACTTGGAGATTCTTAAAGAGGTGTTCCTCTCAGGTAAACAAATAGTGTTTTTTATTTGTGGCAGTCCTGTGTCCCTAACCCTGGCTAATATGGAGGGCTGACAGTATTATCAATTTGACTTCCAACTACTATGGATATTTCCCTTATTTCTTAATACGCTTGTCACCAGAGATGCTGAGACTCAGACCTGCTAAATCAATAAACTATAGATCACAAGTGAGACTTTGAAAATCTGGCCAAGGGTTATGGAACACCCTCTGATATCTTGCAAACCTTTGCAGTGACCCCTACTTAATACCCCCTCTGGTCTGTGTTGTCTTAAACAGGCCGCCCTCCCCCTCGTGGTGCCAAGCCACCCCTGGAAGGCTTCTGCCAACCCAAAGGGCCCATTGAGCAGGTCTACCAAGAGATTGCCATCCTGAAGAAACTCGACCACCCCAACGTCGTGAAGCTGGTGGAGGTGAGGCTAGCTTTGGAGGCCTTGATTGTAATTTTATCTCATAAGAGGTGACACTGTCATTCGGCTTAAAGAAAAGTGGCTGATCAGAGTTATGGGGGTTATTGGGATTGGGACTAGGGTAGAGGTAGAGGAACCTTGGAAAAGTATGTATGTATGTGTATATGTATGTGTGTGTGTGTGTGTGTGTGTATATATTCACAAGAATCATCACTGACTATGAAGGTGGAAGTATTTTCTATAAACAGCAGTTCTCTGACTCATGGAAGACATAAGTGGATTGCAGGGGAAATGCAAGCATTGGAAGCGCATTGCGTTCCTGCTACTAATCTCAATGGGAAGTAAAAAGTAACCCTGTTTTAGTTTAGTTTTGGCCTGTGCAAGATGTTTGGCCTTGTTTACATCACTTGCACAGTCCTTTTATGGCACTTTAAAGTGAAATGGCTGTTGGTAGATGTTGTCTAGAATGCCTGCTGCTGGGTGCTCTTGATATTGCTGGTGCCTCTGTTTGCCTTTGCTTGCCCCTGAATAGTGAAACAATGCAAACTGTGCCTTAAGACACAATAGATAATGCTCCGGCCATAGTTTCTGTGTCTGTAGTGGCTCAGGCAACACATCCCTTAAACAATAGGAGATACTACAGCACCCTGTGATAACTGTAGTAACATAAGTCACAAGAATGTAGATGAATATTGTCTGTCTAACCATCTATGTTTTTCTTCTCCTTCCTGCTCTCTCGCCTCCCATTACATTGGCAGGTGCTGGACGATCCCAGCGAAGACCATCTGTACATGGGTAAGCAGCCCTCACCTCCTCCATTTTGCCATGATTGCTTTTCCCCATGATAATAACCCTTCCAGGGGTGAATTTATCTTCCGAGGGGTAGATTTCACTCACTCCCTGTTGTCTCATTCCTGTTCTTAACTATGAGTCGTTTGTAAGTTGGATGTTTGTAACTCTGGACTGCCTATATATATATGTGTGTGTGTGAAGATTTGTATATAAAGTTTACAAAACATGTTGAGAGCATGTAGGACCTTTTGATACCATTTTAGTTGCTGTAGTTCCATCCTATAGCAATCCTGGGATATGTAATTTTGGCATGGACTTGGATGCCTTTACGATGTCTCTTAGATCTACATCAGAGTATTCTCAGGCCTCATCTACACTGCCATTATAGCACAGATTAAACGTAATTCTATGGTCATATAATCCAATTTGATGCAGTTAAACTGCATTGTATAAGTCTATGTCAATAATAATAATAATAATAATAATAATAATAGTAATAATAATAATAATAATAATAATAATAATAATCACGCAAAAATACTGTGGGACTTTCAAATCCAACTGACAAAGTTTTGTAACACAAGACACCAGACGTCACGATTGTGGAAAAGAAAAAAGTTTGGATTATTGATGTCGCCATACCAGGTGACAGCCGAATTGACGAAAAACAACAGGAAAAAACTCAGCCATTATCAGGACCTCAAAATCGAATTGCAAAGGCTCTGGCATAAACCAGTATAGGTGGTCCCAGTGGTATCTCAGCTGGCATTTGGAAACAACAAACATTGACAAAATCACAATCTGTCGACTGCAAAAGGCCACCTTACTTGGATCTGCGCACAACCTTCGAAAATACTTCACACAGTCCTAGACGCTTGGGAAGTGTTTGACTTGTGATTTTGTGATACGAAATCCAGCATATATATCTCGTTTGCTGTGGCCTACTGTGTTTTTGTTTCAGAATAATAATAATAGTAATAATAATCACTTTATTTCTCCCCCTGGGGGCTCAGAGTGGATTACAGTATAAACAGATGCCGGCAAACATTCAGTGCCTTGTTACATTACAGTGAGGCACACAAACACAAACAAAGCAAAGGCTTCTCCTTTCATTTCCAGCTTTAGAGGTGGTGCTCATCTTTGGCTCTGGGGGAGGTGATGTTCTCCATTTCCAAGCTGAGGAGCCTGCGTTGTCACCTCCTGGTCGTGTGACCGACATAACTGATTGGAGCGTCTTATATAATGCAGTTCAGTCTGCATTATAATGGCAGTGTAGATGGGGCCTTAACATCTCTTGAAATGACAAATCCCAAGTGATGACACTATGGTCACTAAAATGCTATAACACTTACTGTTATATGCTGTTATAACAGCTACTGAGTCAGAAAGTTTGCTGACCATTTTAGGCCATAAAACATGGTTTTGTTTGCTGCTGTTTCTTCTGGAAGCCTTGCATGAAGTTTAATTTAAGAACTGCTGGTGTGTGTGCCTGTGGTCTGGGTGCCGAGGCATCTAAAGCCAGTTACAGATGGGAAAGAGATCAAAATAGACCGCGGATGGGGCTCCCATATTTCCCCCATCAGTGCACCATCTGGTGTTTGTTTCTGAGTTGTTTTTTCCCCCCATCCAAAGGCGTATGCATGCGTGCGTGCGTGTATGTGTGTGTGTATATATATGTATATGTATATATTACAATTTCAGAACTGTCCTTCTGGATGCAATCAATGTTGCCACATTCTTTGGCAATTCTTTTCCAAAAGGAAGTGGGTAGTTTGCTGCTGCGGTTTAGTTCTTCCCCTCCACTTGGCTTTGCCACTGACTTGCGGGCAATGTTTTGTTCCAAAACTTGAAACAAGGTCTCCCTTAATGTGTGAAAACATGCAGAAATTTTCCCTTCTCCTCCCACTAGCATCCCAGGTATGGATCCCAAATCTCCTCCCCTCGTTTCCCTCTGTGGTCCCTCTCACAATGGCAACAGGAAGCAATGCCTTTTGAGAGGGACTATGGAAGAAGACTGAGGCTGGATCTACACTGTCTTATGTCCCAGGATCTGATCCAAGATTATCTTCTTGTCCCAGATTATCTGGCAGTGTAGACTCATATGATCCAGTTCAAAACAGATAATCTGGGGATCAGATCCTGGGATATAAGGCAGTGTAGATCCAGCCTGAGACATTGGGGTTTGTGGATCTGATTGCAGGGAACCTGCACAAAGAAAGGTTCTCAGCCCACCTTCCACAAGTAGGAATTAGCAACATGCACGTAATGAACTCCTTTTTGTGGGGCAGAACCATGGCTGGATGTCAGATGTGAACCATGGTGGACTCATTATGATCAAAAGAGATTAGCTTTGTTTTGTATGAGTTTGTCTCCTTACAGTCCCCTCTTTCTTTTGTCTTTCAGTGTTTGAGTTGGTGAAAAAAGGGTAAGCTTGTCCTTCTTCATATTAATCCATACGGTGCATGTAAAAATACAGTTGGTTGCCCCAAAGGTTGTGTATTCTCGACCAGTCTATCTTTAGGGGAAGAGGCCCTTCAATGTGTTCGGACTCATGGGACCTGCAGCACAACACGACCTGGAAGGCCCCATGAAGAGAGGGTTGCGCCACTCTCTTGAATGGGAGCTTACTGCCTCCTGCATTGTAACGAACTGGATTTGACTTCTCTGTCCCTAGAGATCAAGAAAGGTCTTGCTTTTTAGGCCAACCTGCATCTTGTCTTTGCAGGCCTGTGATGGAAGTGCCGAACCTCAAGCCTCTGACAGAAGACCAGGCCCGGTTCTACTTCCAGGACCTGATCAAGGGCATTGAATACTGTGAGTTCTCTCGGGGATGTCAAGAAAAAAATGGTGATAGCTGTGCAAGAGGCACAGATCCTCATAGGGCTGTCTCTGGAGCGAAGCCTCCTTTATTGATTTGTGGTCATGACTTGGTTCTGTGATGGGAGGAGCGATGAGAAAATGGCGTGGCTCTGAGCATATGCAGAATGCTGTCTCTCCACTGTCGCAGAATCCTCCACACTTGACCATAATAACTTGTATATGGAAATAATAATAAGATTAAAAATAATCATTTATTTATTACCCCCTTCTCCTCCACAGTGCACTATCAGAGGATCATCCACCGGGATATTAAGCCTTCCAATCTCTTAGTCGGAGAAGATGGGCACATCAAAATCGCGGATTTTGGTGTGAGCAACGAGTTCAAAGGGACCGATGCCCTGTTGACCAACACGGTGGGCACACCGGCGTTCATGGCTCCAGAAACCCTCTCGGAAACCCGGAAAATATTTTCTGGAAAGGTATGACTGGGGGCAGAGAGAGAGAGAGAGAGAGAGGTTCTATAGCTTTATACCCTTTAATAATGGCTTAATAGCACTCTGCTACTGTCACGAATTTAAGATGCAGTTGTAGACCCATCTCTTCCAGCAGGCCTATCTGGTCAATTTTAACTTGTGAATTTTAACCTGCGTTTTTATTGGTAATTTTAATCTGCATTTTATCTGTGTAGATTTGTATATGTATTTTAATACTCAGTTTTACTGTATTGTACCCTGCCTCAAGTAGAGGCAGGTAAATATTAATATCAATAGTTTTTTTTAGTATAGGTTTTTTTGCAAGATTTTTTAAAGTCCTCCAACAAGAACTCTCATGTCCCCTTAGCAGCAGGGAGGCAGTTTTGCTATGTTTCAACTTTGGCTGTGTTTTCCTTTAAGTATATTGGAATTCAAATTTTGGTTCACCTGTTTGAACGTAGGGTCCTCCTGAACTTGAAACACCCATGGTCAGAGGACAAAAATGGTCTCTTAGGGACTTAGGGGACATTTTAAATACAAAACACTTTTTTCAAATGGTTCTGGGGTTTTATATGGGCCTCAAAAATAGCTATATGGAGCTATGGGCCTTCGCCAGATCTAGCCATTGAGAACTAGGTTGTCTGAAATGGTCCAAAGGCCAATGTACATCACAGACTAAACTCGAGGGAACTGGGTTGCTGCTGTTGTTGTTGTTATTTGATACACAACAAGATAGGTACACAGCAAACAAGATCACCGTGCTGGCTTTTGTATTTCCTCACACGTCAGACACTTCCCAAGTGTCTAGGACTGTGTGATGTATCGGTGAATAATAATAATAATAATAATAATAATAATAATAATAATAATAATAATAATGGATCGTTGATGTTACAATCCCAGGTGACAGCAGGGTTGAAAAGAAACAACTGGAAAAACTGACACGATATGAGGATTTAAAGATCGAACTGCAAAGACTCTGGCACAAGCCAATCAAGGTGGTCCCAGTGGTGATTGGCACATTGGGTGCAGTGCCTAAAGACCTTGGCCTGCACTTAAGCACAATCGGCACTGACAAAATTACCATCTGTCAGCTGCAAAAGGCCACCCTACTTGGATCTGCACACGTTATTCACTGATACATCACACAGTCCTAGACTGTGGCTATGGAATGCCTTGCCGGCAGACATCAGACAGGCACCTTCGTTGCTGGCGTTTCGGAAAAAGGTTAAGACCTGGCTTTATGAACAGGCGTTTGGTTGAACAGTGCAATCAATCAAGGTAGACGGTAAATGGAACATAGGAATGGCACAAGGATTATGAGAACGAATCTGATTTCACTGAGGCGCTATGTTGTGTATGTTAACTGTCCTGTTCTGTTTTGTTAACAGTTGTGGATTGATGTTGTTGATCCTGTTTGTCGCACTTGTTGCGTTTTAATTGCACTGACACTGTTAATAATTTGTATCATGTAAACCGCATAGAGTCGCCTGTCTGGGCTGAAATATGCGGTATAGAAATAAAGCAAATAAATAAATAAATAAATAGACATTTGGGAAGTGTCCAACATAGTGATCTTGTTTGCTCTGTACTAATCTGTTGGGTTTCAAATAATAATAATAATAATAATAATAATAATAATAATAATGGGTTGCTGTGAATTTTCCGAGCTGTATGACCATGTTCCAGAAGAATTCTCTCCTGACGTTTCGCCCACATCTATGGCAGGCATCCTCAGAGGTTGAGAGGTCTGTTGGAAACTAGGCAAGTGGGGTTTATATATCTGTGGAAGGATGTCCAGAGTGGGAGAAAGAACTCTTGTCTGTTTGAGGCAAGTGGGAATATTGCCATTGGCCAGCTTGATTAGCATTGAATGGCCTTGCAGCTTCAAATGCTGCCTGCTTCCTGCATGGGGGAACCCTTGGTTGGGAGGTGTTAGCTGGCCCTGATTGTTTCCTGTCTGGAATTCACCTGTTTTCTGAGTGTTGTTCTTTATTTACCCTCCTGATTTTAGAGTTATTAAATACTGGTAGCCAGATTTTGTTCATTTTTTATGGTTTCCTTTCTGTTGAAATTGTCCACATGCTTCTTGTGGATTTCAATGGCTTCTCTGTGTAGTCTGACATGTAGTCTGAGGCTGGATGGCCATCTGTCAGGGGTGATTTGAATGCAATATTCCTGCTTCTTGGCAGGGGGTTGGACTGGATGGCCCATGAGGTCTCTTCCAACTATTTGATTCTATGATTCTATGATTCTATGGTGGTTCTCTGAGTGGTCCAGCATTTCTGTGTTCTCAAATAATATCCTGTGTCTAGGTTGGTTCATCAAGTGCTCTGCTATGGCTGACTTCTGTAGCTGGATTAGTCTGTGGTGCCTTTCATGTTCCTTGATTTGTGTTTGGGCATTCCTGCATTTGGCCATTCAGTGCTAATCAAGGTGGCCAATTGCAACATTCCCACTTGCCTCAAGTGGACAAGAGTTCTTTCTCCCACCTTGGACATTATCCCACAGATATATAAACCTCACTTTCCTAGTTTCCAACAGACCTCACAACCTCTGAGGATGCCTGCCATAGATGTGGGTGAAACATCAAGAGAGAATGCTTTTGAACATGGCCAGACAGGCCGGAAAATTCACAGCAACCCAGTGATTCTGGCCATGAAAGCCTTTGACAATACATTATTATTATTGTTATTTGTAGCCTGCTTTTTCTCCCTAAAAAAGAGACTCAAAGCAGCTCACAGTAAAACCAATACAATTCAACTTAAAACTATACAAACATGAATAATAACCCAGGTTCTCCCTATTATTATTATTGTTGTTGTTGTTGTTGTTGTTGTTGTTGTTGTTGTTTCTAGTCCACTTTTTCTCTCTGAAAAAGAGACTCTGAGCGACTTGAATAAAATCAAATACAATACAATGTAAAACCTCAAAAATAGACGATCATTAACATAGAATGAAATATTAATAGTATTAAAAAGAAACAGTCCACCCTTTAGTTCTTAGGTTAACAGGGTCGATTCAAAGGGTGAGACGGCTGGGTATCTGAGTGGAAGAACTACTCATATGCCCTTGGAAGAAAGTTGGGATATAAATATAATAGAGAATAAACAATGCTCATTCAAGTGGCATTGTCGGCATGTGCAACTCGACCACAGCTGTGGTTTGTCTTCTCATACTTGATCCATCTCACCATGCAATAAAGGCAAGCAGGAGCCTATGAATATGTGAAGTATGTTGGGAAGCGTTTTTAAAATGATTTCTCTGCTATACAATATGATCATCCCTCCCCTAAATTTGTTTTCTGAGCCTTTATTAACTTCCCTGGTATCAATAGTATTAAAAGCAGGATCATGTATCTCCCTAGCAGCTCTCGTTGGATATTTTAAAAACATGTTATCATTTGAAAAGAATGAAAATCTGACACTTTGGGAGATGGTGGATTATATTTAATTTTTCCCTTCTCTCCCCCCCCCCCCCCCCCCCCCCACCCTAAGGCTCTAGATGTTTGGGCGATGGGGATCACGCTCTACTGTTTTGTCTTTGGACAGGTATGCAAACTCTCTTTATTTTCACAAATTAGGGGAGACATGTAAATGGATGAAGACATGCTTAGACTATAAACCAATGGTTCCTAACCAGTGGTCCACAGACCACCAGTGATCCGCAAGAACTCCTTCCTTGGAGGCTTTTAAGCAGAGGCTGGTTGGCCATCTGTGGTGGGGGAGGGGGGGTGCTTTGATTGTGCTTTTCCTGCATGGCCCATGCAGGAAGAACCTTATGCTGCTAGGATTCCTCCTTAGCAGCATAAGGTTCTTCCCTGGGAAGATGGGCCGCCCTTCCTGCCACTCTCTTCCTCCTGGATGAGGCCACGAGACCCTTCCAAGCCCAGGCAGCAAGGCCTTTCATTCCTTCCCTTTGCCTTCTTTTCTCTTGCCCTCTCTCCCTCCCTCCCTCCCTCCATCCATCCATCCTTTTTTTATTTGCCCTTTCTTCCCTTTCTTCCTTTTGCCTTCTTTTTTCTTGCCCTCCCTTCTTCCCTTTTTTCCTTGCCTTCCTTTCCTTCCCTTTGCCTTCTTTTCTCTTGCCCTCCCTCCCTGCATCCCATCCATCCATCCATCCATCCTTTTTTACTTGCCCTCCCTTCCCTTCCTTCGTTTTTCCTTCTATTCTCTTCCTTCCCTCCTTCTTCCCTTTTCTCTTCCTTCCTTCCTTCTTGCCTTCTTTTCTCTTTCCCTTTTCTCCTCCCTCCCTCCCTCTCCTCTCCCTTTTTCTCTTCTCTTTTCTTCCTTCCCTTAGCCTTTCTTCTTTCCATCCATCCTTCCTTCCTTTTTTACTTCCTATCCCTTCCTTCCCTTTACCTTCTTTACTCTTGCCTTTCCTCCCTCCCTCCCTCCCATACTTTTTCTCCTCTTTTCCCTTCCCAACCCTTCCTTTGCCTTCTTTTCTCTTGCCTTTCCTTCCTTCTTTTTTCTTTCTCCTTTTCTTCCCTTCCTTCCCTTTGGCTTCTTTTCTCCTTTCTTTTTCTCTTCTTTTCCTTTGCTTTCTTTTGCCTTGTCTTTACCAGCCTCATCCTGCTGCCTGAGGATTAGGAGCAACTCCCAACAAACATGCCCCCCTTCAACCCTGCTCCCTTCTGCCCTCCATTTGAGGTTCGCTGAGTTTGGAGCAGTGGCTCCCAACTTTTTTTAAAAAAATCTGATTCTCTTGAAGAGTTTTGGTGTAAAAAAGCAATTTTTATACTAAAGTTTGAGGAATCGCCTTATGCTGTTCTCCACAACTTATTTATATGAACAAGGGTTTTCTGCTTTGCTGGTAATTAAAACCAAGTCCAGCAATTGATTGAAAGTAAGTAAGTGATGATATGCGTGTAGCTTTGAGCCCCAAGATTACCCAACTTGTAAAAAGATGCAAGCTCAAAAATCACATTGATGCAAACTAAATTTAATTTTCTATTAAATATGATCTTTTGATATTATAATAGTACTATTAATTAATTTATTATTATTTTATTATTTACTATATTTGTATACTGCCCCTCTCAGCCCGAAGGTGACTCGAGGCGATTTACATTTGGCAATCAATGCCCCACAAGATAAAATACAGTCAAAAACAATTACGTATAATATAACCATATAAAAACAATAAACAATTAACAATTAAAACCATAAAATACAATTCTCAGTGTCTCATTGTTTATGTTACTATTTATTTATGTTACTATTAAATTTAACAAATATGTTAAAAGTTTTTATTCAAGTTTATTATTTTTTTTTTGTATTAAAGTGGATTTTAGAAAGAAAAAAGATAAAAGCAAGGGGAGGTGAAGATAGGAAGATAAAGAAGGGGAGGGGTGGGATAGTGCTAGAAAAGGGGGAAGGGTAATAGAAATATTGTCTCCCATCCATCTTCATCGGGGCTTGTCAGTGAGTTTGCTTCTCAGTGTGTGCTCCTCCGGCTTGTTCCTTCTTAGTGTGATACAATTTTCTTCTAAATTATTCATTTTAAATTATCATGCTCATTTTATTCTTTGTCATGTAGTCTTTAAACATAGTCCAATCTAATGTTTTCATTTGTTTGCCTTGAGACTTTGTTACTAAATAAGTCAATTTGTCCATGTTCATGATGTCCATTACTTTTATTAGCCATTGATCCATTGGGGGTATTTCTTTCATTCTCCAAGTGTTGGCATAAACTATCCTAGCTACCATTGCCATGTAATTAAATAATTTATCTTTATTTGTGTCCCATTCTATATTGATTATTCCTAATAAAAATATTCTGGTTTAAGTTGGATTTTTGTATCTCAATTTTTCTGGCTAACTTCCTGTATATCTTCCCAGTAGGCTTTTGCCCTTTCACAAGACCACCAGATGTGGTTAAAAGTCCCCTCTTGTTAGTCACATTTCCAGCATTTGTTGTTCATATGTTTGTAATATTTGGATAACTTTTGTGGTGTTTTATACCACTGGAACATCATTTGAAAAATTAAAGTTTATTTTTAGATTAACACAGTGTTCAGTTGTCCCTCACTTATCGCGGGTGTTATGTTCCTGGACCACCCATGATAAGTGAAATTCTGCGATGTAGGGACGCCCCCTCATCTTCCCTCCTCGCCCTCCTTACCTTCCTCTTCCTCCTTCTCATCGCTACATGGGCCTCTTGTTGCTGCTTGGGCCCTGTGATATCTCCTCAGTCATGCTGTGATGAGGAGGAGGAAGAGAAAGGTAAGGAGGGTGAGGGGGCAGCTCTTATTCTCCCTGGGCCTCCTTACCTTCCTCACCCTCCTCCACTTTGCTGCCTGGGGCCTCTTGCTGCAATGCTGCATGAGGCCCAAGCGGCAGCAAGAGGCCCCAGGCGGTGAAGAGGAAGAAGAAGAGGAAGGTAAGGAGGGCAAAATTCTTTTTTTAAAAATAAAAACACCCAGCAAAACAGTGAGTCCGTGATAAGTGGACCACGAAGGAGCGAGGGAGCACTGTATTATTCTTAAATCTTGTGGGTCCCTGCTAATAACAAAAAAACCCAAGTGGTCCCTGGTGAAAAAAGTTTGGTAGCTGCTGCTATAAACGGATTTTATAACACTGCCCCCAAAGTGTAGTGTTGTAACAGTTTTACATAACTTGTTCACATCAGGCCTGAAACTGTGGATTCCTTAGCTTGCACATAACTCTGAGCACTTGGGATAGTTGTCTTATGACCACTTCAACTCCCTCCAGTTATGGTCAATGGGGATATGTTCCTTTTTTTGGCTCCTGGTGACACACATTTTAATATACTAGCCCCAATCCCATGTTGCTTTATAATGCATTCTCTTGTTCTTCCCTAGTGCCCTTTTATGGACGAGCGGATCCTAAGTTTACACAGCAAAATCAAAAGCCAGATGCTGGAGTTTCCAGACCAGTATGTATAAAATGCAGTTTATGAAAGTCCACATATCTACTTGTCTGGGGAAGAGACCAGCTTTACAGAAAGCTATGTGATTGGCAGACAAGAAAAAAAACTAGCATGCAGCTGCCGTTGTCAATCACATCACACACACACACACACACACCCCGCCTCCTCTCACCCCAGACACCTATGGAGAATGTTACATTGAAAACAAACACAACTTGAAACACTCCGAAACAACAAACCTTTACTAATCTCTCAGAAATGTTTTGGAGGCTTCTGTTTCATTTCATAATGCTTCAGAGGGGGTCTCGTTCTGATTAGTGATTTGGAGATTTGTATTAACAAATCATACAAATCTCCAAAATTATGAAACAGACCTCTGAAGCTTTGCACAGCCCTAGTTCAAAGAGAAGTTGCATTCATTGGCCCTTTGCTTGGTGTCAAAGCCGTCTTGGGGTTTTATTTGAAGAGTATTTCTTTGGGAAGATCCCTCCCCACTAGCCAAGCCAGTGGGAAGATCCCTCCTCCTCTTTCTGGTGGGGAGAAATTAGGGCCAATGTGGGTAAACTCAAGGAATTGGGTTCTGGTGGCCGCTCTCTAGGAGCTCATCTATACTCCATAATTAATGCGATTTGACCCCACATGAACTGGCATGGCTCAGTGTTATGGAATCATGGGAGTTGTGGTTTGATGAGAAGGCTAGAGACTGTGTAAAACTACAGTTCGCAAGATTCCTTTGCATTGAGCCATGGTAGCTCAGGTGGGGTCAAACGGCGTTCATTAGACAATGTAGATGCACTCTAGGTTTTGGCTAAGCTCTTGTTTAGTGTTTGCTTTGGATACCTTTGCCTTCAACACCCAACAGATGATGCATGCTGTATTTTACAATGTATTTTTGCAGTCTTATGGACTAGAAACTCATGAGTGGGTATTCTCATGACATCCCTGTTGTCACTAATAGTTCTGTGGCACAGCTCTGCTAGGTTCACCCCTTTTGCTTCCTCCTGATTCTCCTGCAGGCCAGACATTTCAGATGAACTGAAGGATTTGATAACAAAGATGCTGGACAAAAACCCCGAAACCAGGATCACCGTCCCAGAAATTAAGGTATCCAATGGTTAATCTTTGATATCATGGGAGGTATGGTGTTCCAAAGTTTTGGTGGGTGCGCTTTTCTTCTGGTTTTTGTTGTGATTCTGTTTTCATTGTCCTTAGCCCCATCACTCCTCCTTTCTGGTCCTGGAAACCTTTTCTAAAAAAGTGCTACTGTACCTTCTAGTCCCAAATACAGTTTACAAAGAGATTAAAATCTGTAACAAGTGAATTTCAGTGGAACAGTTGCATATGAATAACAGCCTTTTGCAAGCACTTTCTTTCACCAGGGTTACTATATGCACTTGTTTCTGTTATATATATGTGTGTGTGTATCCAGGACACACACACAAGCTTGGGTACCCAGCGTTGCCCAGGTTATTTGAAAAAGTCATTTTTTTCATTGTTCAAAATGCATAAGGTTGTGGGTGAACTATAACTCATATCATGCTGGGTTAACCCCGAAAACTCCATCAGTAGTTAAAGTTTATTAGATTGGGCAAGTTTGCTCTAGATGCATCATTGGTGGTGTTCCGTGTGCTCTCTGGCTGTAGGGGAAACTACAACTCCCACTATGGCAGTGGTTTTCAACCTGTGGGTCCCCAGATGTTTTGGCCTTCAACTCCCAGAAATCCTAACAGCTGGTAAACTGGCTGGGATTTCTGGGAGTTGTAGGCCAAAACACCTGGGGACCCACAGGTTGAGAACCACTGCACTATGGTGAGTCAGTCCCCTCAAACCCCTCCAGTAGGTTGAGTTAGTCACGGGGGTTCTGTGTGTCAAGTGTGGTCCAGATCCATTATTGGTGGAGGTCACAGCTTCTCTGGTTGTGGGTGAACTACAACTCTCCCAAATCAAGGTGAATTCCCCCCCCCACCCAAAAGCCCTCCATTATTTTTGTTGGTCATGGGGATTCCGTGTGCCAAGTGAGTTCCAGGTCCATCATTGGTGAAGTTCAGAGTGCTCTTAGATTGCAGGTGAGCTATACATCCCAGTACCGTCAACTCTTAAAAATCATGGTGAATTCTCCCCAAACCTCTCTAGTATGTTCAGTTGCTGATCAATTCCTCTGTTGCTGTGTGCCTTAGAAAAGAATAGGAAATGCATTAAGGGAGAGGCAGTGGGCGGGGTCATGTACATTCCATACCAACGGAGAGAGTAAAAAACACTAGGATGCCTGTGGTGGAGGAAAAACAGAAAATCTTGGATGCAAATGTCCCCGTATGGCAGCCTTCACTTGAGTGGTGGGCAGTATGGTGTTTGTGGAGGTCATTGGCAGGGCTCTTGTACATGATTACAGTGCTCTCTATAACCTACAATGTCATTGGAGGGAGGGCCATTGGTGTCTCCTGAGCAGTGGGAGTTACAGCTAAAATATCAATTTGAAGGAGTTTAAAATTCATTGAAGACTTAGCAAAAGAGAGAGTGTATGTGTCAGTGTGGGGGGATACACTGCTGGGGAGGTTGTGGGTGGGAGTTGGGGAGCATATTTAGTTTTAAATGTAATTTTAGTTGTATGGGTATTACTATTGTATCATAACTGTGTTGTAAGTTGTATCCAGGACACAAATACTCAATAGTTTTTAACTTTTGTCCTCGCCATATGTTTAAAGTTATTGGGTTGTGTCATGTTATTGTAAGCCGCCTTGAAGAGAAAGGCGGGGGAGAAATAACAACACCAAGAACAGCAACAACAACAACAACAACAACGACAATAATGGTGTGGGACACTGGGAAGCCAGGGTTCAAATCCTCATTTGACCTCATTAGAGGAAAGCAGTGCTGGCAAATTCCCTAAGGCTAAGGAAACCCTGTGATACATTGGGGAGGTGTGTGGTTTCTGGCCTGTATGGCCATGTTCTAGGCTGTATGGCTGTGATACAGTTATTTTTGGTTGCACCAAGGCTCTTGGGTGATCTATGATATTGTAGCAAAGGCCCTATATAGACGGGCAGTAGTACTAGATGCTTGTATTCCGAACAATAAAGATTTATGGTATCTTCAGCCCCTATGTGTGTTGCTGTGTTCTTTCAAGAGAAGACTGATCCCACAGCAACACAGTTGGAGAAAAGAGCCACTACAATTTGTTCAGAATACAAGCGTCTAGCACTACTGCTTGTCTATATAGGGCTTTAGCTACAATATCTTAGATCACCCTGGTGCCTGGTTTCTGCCCTTTCCCACATACCAGAGCCCACCTTCTCCCACCTCAGGGCAATTGGCTGTTATGGCTGGTTCATGTGTCCTTGGAGCATCCTGTCCTCCCTTTTGGCCATAGGCCATGTACTTTCTGTCAGTATCAGGGTGGGGCTGATAGTTGCTTGGCATGAGTGATCATGACACAGGCTTACCATGGGCACCCTATCAGGACCCTGCTCAAATGTGCTATTTAAAAAGTCAGGTCGGTTTTGGGTTGTTGTAGGTTTTTTTGGGCTATATGGCCATGTTCTAGAGGCATTCTCTCCTGACGTTTTGCCTGCATCTATGGCAAGCATTCTCAGAAGTTGTGAGGTCTGCTTTGTTAGCTGTGATCTGTCTGCGATGCTGAGAAGGCCATGGAACTCTTTCTCTTGCCCCTAAGGTGCACCCCTGGGTTACCAAAAATGGAGCAGAACCCCTGCCCACCGAAGATGAGAACTGCACACTGGTGGAAGTGACAGAGGAAGAGGTGGAGAATTCGGTCAAGCACATCCCAAGCTTGGCCACGGTGGTGAGTAGGACCCAGAAATTTGCCCGTTTGGCACCGCCGGATGCCATATTGTTTTGAAAGGGGCTAGAGACATTCTGCCCCTTACACAGAATGAGGCTACAAAGAACCAAGACTGCCATTTTCCACTGTATTGCTTAAGGCTTCTGGATTGCAGCCCATTTTTTAAATGCATCTCCATGTAAAATCCTATAGGGCTTTGAGTTTTAAATCAGTAAGCAATTGGAATATAATATAGCCAAAATATTGAGGAACAGAAATAATTGGGGTTAATGAAGATGGAGCAGAATCAAAGGCAGGAGGAAAAGATAATAATAATTATAACAACAACAAGAATAATAATAATAATTTATTTATTTATTTCGTGTCAAAAGCCTTTCTCATAGCCTTCCTCAATATAGTCCATCAGGTTAAGAATGTAAGCTGTACAGTTTTTCCCTAGTCTGAAGCCTAATAATAATAATAATAATAATAATAATAATAATAATAATGTATTACCCATATCTCTTTTCGGCTCGAAGTAGGGCACATCGTAGTCAAAAACATCTAAAAGCACATATAAAACATAGTTACAATACAACCATGAAAGCATATATTAAAAACATACATTTAAATACATGAGATAAAAGTTTCAGTGCCTCTGATAAAGGAAGCTTATAGAAATGCACTAAAGGATCTAGAGAGGCACTTCCACAAGGAAGTTATGTTTTCATGTAGATAATGATAGAGGATTTGAGCATTAAAAAGAGTAATAATGGTCCTCATCGGTCTTCCTCTCTTTCAGATCCTGGTCAAATCAATGATCAGGAAAAGATCTTTTGGGAATCCGTTTGAAGGGAGCAGAAGAGAAGAGAGATCTCTGTCCGCGCCAGGCAATCTGTTGATGTAAGTGGTCCCTGGGGCTAGGAATTTTCAAGTTATTTTTGTGAAGGATTTGGGTCTGGGATGCAAGGGAGTTTCTTGGAAAACTAATCGGGGTCCTTCGATAAAAGAAGTCACGCGGAACATATGCAGCCACAGGAGAATCTCCTCGGGTGAAACTTTGGAAGCTCCTGTCAATCAAGACTTGCATGAATCGAGACTGCTTTCTCACAAAATAAAATACAATGTGCATTTCAATCTGTACACCCCGACACAAACGGAGCCGTTTAGGAGTCAAGCTCTGTAAAGGTCTGTTTATAAATCCATGCTGATTTCATAGCTGGGAAAAACAAAATGGAAAAAATGAAGCTTCAATTGAGCAAACATTTCCAGGGAGGTAGCCGAGTTAGTCTTGGCAGCGAAAGCAAGAGAAGTTGCTGTAGTGTCTTAAAGACTAACATGTTTTTTCTGGCATAAGTTTTCCTAGGACGGCAGCCCACTTGGTTGGATTCCTGCAAGGAATGGGCTGTGCTCCAGGAAACCGTATGCCACTCAGAACGTGGTTATTTCTTTCATGCTGAAACACTATATAATCCAAACGGAGAAGAAATAATGTAAGCCACAATAACGTCTGTCTCTGTTCTTGCGCCATCACCTGTGCTGCTCCCCCAAAATATCTCAAATTGGGATGCTCAGATTGAGAGATTGGTCTGCTGTATATACTCATGTTTAAGTCTAGACATTTTTTGTCAAAAAATAAACCCAAAAAACTTGGGTTGTCAAAGGCTTTCATGGCCAGAATCACTTGGTTGCTGTTAATTTTCCAGTTTGTATGGCCATGCTCCAGAAGCATTCTCTCCTGACATTTTACCCACATCTATGGCAGGCATTCTCAGAGGTTGTGAGGTCTGTTGCAAACTAGGCAAATGGGGTTTATCTACCCGTGGAATGATGTCCAAGGCTGGAGAAAGAACTCTTGTCTGTTGGGGGTAACTGTGAATGTTGCCATTGGCCAGCTTGATTAGCACTGAATGGCCTTGCAGTGTCAAAGCCTGGCTGCTTTCTGCCTGGGGGAATCCTTTGTTGGGAGGTCTTAGCTGGTACTGATTGTATCCTGTCTGGATTTCCCCTGTTGTTGCTCTTTATTTACTGTCCTGATTTTAAAGGTTTTTTTAAAAAATACTGGTAGCCAGATTTTGTTCATTTCCATGGTTTCCTCTTTTTTGTTGAAATTGTCCACATGCTTGTGGGTTTCAGTGGCTTCTCTGTGTAGTCTGACATGGTGGTTGTGAGAGTGGTCCAGCATTTCTGTGTTCTCAAATAATATGCTGTGTCCAGGTTGGTTCATCAAGTGCTCTGCTATGGATGACTTCTTGGGTTGAATTATCGTACACTACGTAGTCTGCCATATACCATGCAGCTGTGGACAAGTTTACATAGGGACCCCCAAACACAGCAGCAATGCCCAGATACGAATGAAGGAACATGAAAGGCACTGCAGACTAATTCAGCCAGAGGTCAACTATAGCAAAGCACCTGATGAACCAACCTGGACACAGTGTATTATTGGAGAATAATAATAATAATAATAATAATAATAATAATAATAATAATAATACCTTTATTTGTATTCCAGTCTATCTCCCCAGGGGGACTCAGGGCAGATTCCAACATACATAAAGGCACAGAACACAGAAATGCTGGACCACCCTAACAACCACCATGTCAGACTACACAGAGAAGCCATTGAAATCCACAAGCACGTGGAGAATTCCAACAGAAAGGAGGAAACCATAAAAATGAACAAAATCTAGCTCCCAGTATTAAAAAAAACCCTCTAAAATCAGGACAGTAAATAAAGAGCAACACTCAGAAAACAGGGGAATTCCAGACAGGAAACAATCAGGGCCAGTGAACACCTCCCAACAAAGTATTCCCCCACGCAGGGAGTATCCAGGCTTTGAAGCTACAAGGCAATTCAATGCTAATCAAGGTAGCCAACTGCAACATTCATACTTGCCTCAAACAGATAAGCATTCATTCTCACACCCTGGACATTCCACAGGTCTATAAACCCCTCAGAAGAGAATGCTTCTGGAACATGGCTATATAGCCCGGAAAACTCACAGCAACCCAACTTGGGTTGACTTCCTCATGAATCACTGTTATCAAAATCTATAATTTAGACCACCAAACCAACCCTTGACTTGTTCATGAGGTTGACTTATACGTGAGTCTATATGCCAAATTAAGAAAATTGATGCTCTCGTCGTAATAAATCAGGGTTGGGAGGGATAACAAAGGAAAAGGGGCTGGTGAAGAAGCGCAGCAATGTTTCCAAGATTTCTGTTTGCAACCTGAGTGGTAGAAAACCCTTTGATGAAGAGGTTTAAAGACTTTTGCATAGAGGAGTAGTTTCCGAACCTTGGGACTTGTGTGGTGTACAAAGGAGCCTTGCTTCATGTTTGCCATTGGGTTTCTTGGAACTGTAACCCAGTGTCATAGCTACCAATCTTCTTGATGCTGGGCGACGTTGCCCTGTTTCTTTCTCTCTCTCTGTTCTCACATCCACTTCCTCCCTCTTCCCCTCCACCCACCCCGACTCCAGAAAACACAAAGCAGGACATGTGAAATATCACATCAGTCAAAGGTAAAGCTTGTGATCGCCGAGCCATGCCTTGTCTGGCCTGTCTGTTTGTCCTGGGAGAAAGGAAGGGGTGACTTGGGCATGCCGCAAGGGAAGGGAGAGCATGAGGCCAATGTCTGCCGCCGGCGGGGCATGTCGTGCTGGGCCCGCCCTGACATGTGTGGCATGATGGCTTTTCCGTGCGTTTTCTTTCCAGCCGCAAGGCAGAGCTGGTTTGGCAGCTGGAGAGATGGATGTGCACGTCGCTATGGCCCCGGAATTTGTGGGTTTCTTTTGATTGCCTCGGTCCTGGCTGCAAAACTGTGCAACAGTCCAACCTGTTTGAATTCATGGCACACAGACACTGCTCTGAAACGTCAGGTCTCTGGAGCTTGTGCAGAGTTCACGGGGAATATCACAAAATGGGACATAGCTTCTAAAGATAGATGTTGGCACGTAAAGATTGAGTGTGCAGCTTGGGAGACACTGGGCTCCCAAATACTAATGGCCTCGAGTAGCCCCAGCTGAGGGATTATGGGTGTTGCTGTTCAAACACATTCAAAGATGAGCTACAGAACAACCAATTAATTGATTGACTGGTTTTCCGCCTTCCTCCATCACGAGTGCCAGGATAGTTGGCAATCCAGCTAAAGCACAAGGATTCTGATATCATCGTTACTCACTTTTTTTGTGTCAGGAGTGACAGGTGAAACTGCAAGTTGCTTCTGGTATGAGAGAATTGGCCGTCTGCAAGGATGTTGGCCAGGGGATGCCCAGATGTTTTACCATCCTTGTGGGAGGTCTCTCTCATGTTCCTACATGGGGAGCTAGAGCTGACAGAGGGAGATCAACCCACTCTCCCCGGATTTGAACCACTGACCTGCCAACACAAGGGTTTCACCCATTGCGCCACTGAGGGCTCATGTTACTCACATGAGCTTCTATTTGTATCCTTCACCAGGTCTCTTCAACCTGCGGCCCTCCAGGTGTTTGTGCCTCCAATTCTCAGAAGCCCTAGGTAGTTTGTTCAAGGGTCAGGAATTCTGGGAACCAAAGTCCAAAACACCTAGAGGGCTACAGGTTGAAGAGGACTGTACTATTTCAAAACACTCTTCCATATAGACCAGTGTTTCTCAACCTAGGGGTTGGGACTCCTGGGGGTGGGGTCACAAGTGGGTTTCCGAGGGGTCGCCAAAGACCATCAGAAAACATATATTTCTGATGGTCTTTGAAACCCCTTTGGCAGAGAAGATCTCTCCGCCTGTCCTTCTCTTCCTTTTTTGAAACAGACTGAATCCTCCCAGCAAAAGCCCTCCTCCTGCTGTGATTGGCTGGCCTCTCGGCCAAGGGGAGGGCTGTTTCTGAGACTCCAAGCTGGGAGGGGAGAGCAGGCATACTCTCCCCTAAATGACTGCCAATTCCTCCCAAATCCCTCCAGTATTTTCTATTGGTCATGGGCGTTCTGTGTGGGAAGTTTGGCCCAATTCTATCGTTGGTGGGGTTCAAGGGGATCTTTGATTGTAGGTGAACTATACATCCTTGTACCTACAACTCCAAATTGTCCAGACTAATTCCCCTCGAAACCCACAAGTATTCTAATGTGGACATATAGGGTATGCATGCCAAGTTTGCTCCAGATCCATCATTGTTTGAGTCCACAATGCTCTCTGGATGTAGTTGAACTATAACTCCAAAACCAAGGTCAATGCTCACCAAACCCTTTCAGTATTTTCTGTTGGTCATGGGAGTTCTGTGTGCCAAGTTTGGTTCAATTTCATCATTGGTGGAGTTCAGAATAGGTGAACTATAAATCCCAGCAACCACAACTCCCAAATTACAAAATCAACCCCCCTCCAACCCCACCAGTATTCAAATTTGGGCGTATTGGATATTTGTGCCAAATTTGGTCCAGGGAATACATCCTGCATATAAGATATTTACATTACAATTCACAACAGAAGGAAAATTACAGTTATGAAGTAGCAATGAAAATAATGTTATGGTTTGGGGGTCACTACAACATGAGAAACTTTATTAAGGGGTTGCTGCATTAGGAAGGTTGAAAACCACTGATATAGATGGTCCTCTTCTTTATTCGACTTCACACCACTCTTCCATAGGGATGGTCCTCTTCGTTTTCCGACTCCTCCATATTCTCTTCCTTGGCCAGAGAGCAAAACCCCTTGGTTTCCTTTTTAAACAAGTCTTTCATTTCTTTCCACAGCAGGAAGCAAAGCAGCGAAGACAACCTGAAGTGCATCAGCGACTTGCCAAATGTGGGCGAGGAGGAACTGCTTTCGTGAAGCTTGCCATTTCTGGTGGCGGCACAGCTGCTAGTCCCCTTCTGCATCAACTCTTTTATAAAGAACGAGTCTGGGGAGTAAGAGCACTGTGATGCCACAAGAAAGACCTCCAGCCTTTGGGGGATGCTGGGATTTCTTACAAGAGTGGAGCGTTGCGCTCGGCTTGCTGCAGTATGCTGTACAAACCAGACTCCGCAGAATCCATCCCTGGTAATGGTTGCCAGATGGCGTCCAACACTGAAAGGTGGGAGACGCAAGCGGGCCTGCTCTCGGACGCTGCCTGGAGGGAGTGTCACACAGCTGTTGCCGCTCAGGAGCCACTAAGAATGTCTGGTGCAGCTTTGGCTGGCAAAAAAAGGGGAGGGGGTAGACCTTTGGCAAAGGCAATGGCTTGTATTTGCAGAGCTCCTTCAAAATGCCACTTTTTGGCCTGCTTGCAACTTGCCAGATTGCCCCGCATCTTTCCTCACTTTGGTGTTTGTTATGCCCCGTTCTTTGTATGGATGTTTTTTCTTATTCCTGCATGGAAATACAGCAGACAAATGTGCCACATCGGGCTTTTTTTTGGTTTTTGGCCAACGGATATGTCGCTGCCATGTTAAAAAACAGTCGGGGACTTGTGTTTCCTAGAGAGCTGTCCATAGTCGCAAGAACAATGGCGGGGTTGCCTTTAAGATTTCACACTCTCCAGAAGTGTGAGACAAAAGGTGATTTCCTCTCTGTGTCGCGCAAAGGGCTCAAACGTTGATGGACACTTGGAGAGGTGTGCTTTTGGAGGGACTCCCTTCAAGCACAAATTGAAAATGGGAGGCAACAAAAGAGATCCTGTCCCGCTCTTGAAGCGCTAGCTAGAACTTAGTTTGATGTTTTACTCAATTTCTCTGTTGGCCTGTACAAAATTCAGGGTTATTGGTTTTTTTGTTCATCCAACACTTCCTGTTACATTTTCTAGTTTAATACATCCTGTGTGCTCTCCAAGGGACGTTGTTGAAATCATCCATAGGTTTTTCCAGCTCACAACGTTCCCGTTTGCTTTGAAGCAGAAATTGCTCTTTCCCATTCTGCTCTTTATCCAAAATGATTTTCCTTTTTACCTCTCCGAAGGGGACCGACCTTAGCTATCCCTTCCCATGCAAAGCCAAATGAAACAAAACCTCCCCACTCATTTAGAATGTGGTGGCCAAACCAGGTTAATTTTCCATGGGTCAGGATGCTTTTTTAGTTCAGTCCCATGTTCCCATGTTTGAAAGCAGTATGATTGTGATGCCAGAGGATTTCTGAACCTGGAGCTTGCCTCCAGGGAATCCTATTCAAACCCAAAGGTCTTTTCGCCAATCCTGCCAGGGATCAATTTGCTGAGCCAAACAAGACTCGGCTTGGAACCATGCAAGGCTGTTCTTGTATTTCTTGAGGTTTCTGCGCTCATTTTTTAAAGTAATGCTTTCCAAGGTGAAACGGGATTAGATGAACAAAGGAAAGGGATCTCCAAGGGATCGGCTGCATCAAGGTTGGAGAAAGTATGTCTTGTTTGAATCCTTGCCTCCAAGACCCAAGAAAGCTGCCTTCTTTGAAAAATATCTTTGCGACGGGGCAGAGGTATGCAAGACCCCGTGGGTGAAGGGCAACGCAGATGCCTCACCCACAATATTTGCTTGGGACAGTGGTGGTCCGCCAACAAACTCCCGCCAAAGAACATGCAAGAAAGCCCTTTGTGTGCATCAATGCTCAGTGATTTGTGTAATCACCTTTCGGGCCTTTCTTAAGTAATGATGTGCATAGCAAAACCACTTTCTTCAATATTGTTTTAAGTAGTCAGTGTAGATGGGGCAAAATCAAATGGCCTGGATCTAGAGGCAGACATCCAAGCTGCCCCTGGAATGTATGCCCTCTTCAAGGGACACTGTTGTGCCACCAACCTTTCCCATTCTCTCCTGCCTGGTCTTGTTTTGTACTCAGGTGCCAACTGTTATTCCATTGAGTGCGTTTAGTTGTTTTTCCAAGTGGGCAATGGCTTTGGCCCTTTTACTCTGACCCCAAAGGGAATGCATTTAGCTCAGGCATGGGCAAACCCAGGCCTGGGGGGGGGGGGGGCGGAAAGGGTTTGCCCATGCTTGATTTAGCATATAGAGTGGGCACAAAAGGGCCACATTTGAATCCACTTGTCTTTGAAATAGTTCAAGACTGGGCATCAGGGTTGGCGCGTCCCAAAGCCTGAATCCTTGCCATGTTTGGCTTCTCTGCCATATACTTGGACCAGAAGTGAATCAGGGGCAATGGGGCTTGTTAATTAAGCCCAAACGCCAAGATGGCGGGTCACCATTTGTGGGCTTTTGCTGTGCCCTATGATGCCGCAGTCTTACAATTCTTTGGTAAGGTTCAATCAGGCTTGCAGATGGACAGCTCTTGAAGCAATTGAATCAGAACGAAATATCCAAATATTTGATCCCCTCCTTTTTTAAAGAGCTGCTTGATTGAAAGACAAAAGAAGGAGCGGAAGAAGAGAAGAGGGTTATGGTGACACCCTTCACTTTGCTAATCCAGTGGGGTGAAGGAAGGTTATTCAGTATGAGAAATGGTCATCTAATCTCCAATACATCTAATCTCTGTTTTAACCATTCAAATCCTTCTAAGGAAAGAGAATCTACTACTTTAATGTTTTCTCTAGTCAGGGAATTCTTCCCCGAGACTCTTCTGAGTAATTTGGATCTGTTTGTTTGAGTTTTGAGCAGCTTTAGTTATTTAAAGGTGGCGCTTGTCCCTCCTTTTCCAGGTCTTCTGAGTCTTGGCTGACCTGGCATCATCATTGCATTTGGAACAGGATCTGGACCCGGTTATGAATCTGTCTCATCCAGAAATCCCTTCCTATTTCCATGCCAGGTCTAAAACTGCCTACAGATGCAACCGGTTCAAAGATGTGGGCGCTGGTGCCGAGACGAAAGTGATGTAAAGAGTTGTGAGTTGTCTCTTGGACAGCGATGTGTGCTTTGTCCTTTCTATAAACATAAGCAGGAATGACGCCCAAAATGTTCCTTTTCTTCGAGGCCTCACTCATGCGGCTGCAACCCAAATCCTCTGGCGTCTTTTCCCCTTGCGCCGTCCTCTGCCCTGCGCTCTGTAATATCGCTCCTTTATATCTTCTCCCAACGAATGCCTGAGGCTTTGTATTTCCGCACTACTTCCTCTCTACTATGCATTTTACTTGGATCAGGTGTCAAACGTATAATGTATTTAACACTTAAAATTCCCTTCCAACAAGGTGCCTCTCCAAGGAGGTTTCTGTGTTCCAGCTGAAATAAAGCAAGAGGTAACAATCAAGCTCTCTGTGGTTGTATTTATTGGTTTGAGAGAAAAAGGCTTCATTTGTAGACCTTTCTCTTGGCACTGGACCCACCTCTTCTCTTGTTGGAGATGAAATATAACATAAATCAGGACCTTTCATAGCCTTTCCTTGGCTAGAAAGACCTGCTCTACATGTAGACAGGTAACACCGCAGGGGCCTTTTCGAGAGATGCTTATTTTCTATGTGCAGAGAAAGTTTAAAATACATACTTGGTTTTTTAAGGGTCATCCAAAGGTTAACTGATAGGAAAATAATTAAAAAGAGACAGCTCAAATATTATGATTATAAAACAAAATAATATATATAGTTATTATTTAATAATCATATTTAATAATATATGATAATAGTATATAATTATGTATAATTATTTATAATATTATAAATTATATTTATAATTTATAAATTTAATAATTATATTGATATGTAATTATATAATAATATATAATTATATTGTAATAATTATATAATTATTATTTTTAATTATAAATATTTATAATATTATAAATTATATTATTTATAATGCTATAGTTATAATTTAATAATTATATGTATATTTAATAATAATATAATAATCATAATAATAATAATTATATAATTATTATTATGTAATAATATTACTCCACTTTATCTCTCTTGAAGGAGACTCAAAGTGGCTTGACATAAAAGCATCAGCCTAAAATTTAAAATATACAAATATGCAAACATTGAAAATGGAATTAAATATAAACAATATTAAAAAAATTACAGTTTTGAATTAAAGTGAAACAATATCAAATAACAGTATGAAATCTGAACGGAGAGTGAATCCACACTGTTAAATGAATGTGGTTTGACCCCTCGTGAACTGCTCTATGTTAAAGAATTGCGGGACTGGTTGTTTAAAAAATTCCTTTGGCCTTCTCTGCTGGTGCCTCACCAAACTACAAATCCCAAGATTCGATGGCATAGAGCCATGGCAGTTCAAGTGGGACCAAACTGCATTAATTTGAAAGTGTAGATGCACCCTGGGTCTCATACTGTCCTATATTATCCCTGTCCTTGGTGAAAACAATGCTTTTGTTGCTCTTCTTTTTATCACCTGGACATAAGAACCAGCTGAAACTAAATACTGAGAATTAGGGGACAGGCTTGATCTTTCCAATGGCCACTAGGTGGCACTGTTCTTACCCCCCCCCCCCCCCCAAATTGGCTTCACACAGAAGGCTGCTTTGAATTCCAAGTTCAATGTGTTTTTAATGGCATTTTAAAAATAGAATATTCAGCAGCAGAAACTGAAAAAACCTGGAAAGAGAAGAGATGTTTCCCTACTTTCCTAGCAGACATGGTTCAGCACTTGGAAACGTTTCTGTGCTTCTCCAGCCCAATTTCACTCTTCTCCCCATGCTGATGCTGCTAAAAAGCTTCCAACCCATCAGAGGATGAGGATTTTTGCTATCTGGAGCTCCAATTAGCATCTTAACCTATAGTACCATTGACGTAGTAAACAAGACTCCCACCCGATGTTGTTTTTGACTGCAATTCCCATCATCCACTAGGGGTTGCTGGAACTGGCAGTCCATTGGAAATTTGGGTTGGTTTGATTCTGAAACAAGAAGGGCTGGAGTTCTGGGTTCAAGCTTCTGGAAACCCTCAGCCTGTTAGGATCTGTATGGGACGGAAAGCACTTAGCATATGCTCAGAGGCACATTGTTACATTACACATTATACATAGCGGCCCCATGGGCATCTAAATGTCAAACACCCCTCACTGTTGGTAATTTTTCCTGTGGCTCATGGGAATTGCAGTGGGAATGGCCAGGCTATAAAGCCAACTTCTCCATGGCAGGGCCTTCTAAATGTTGGCTACCCCTCTCCCTATAGACATATTGACTAGGGGATTCTGGGCATTGTGCTCCACAAAAGCTCTGCTGTCATTTTGATGTTAGACAACAAGGGGCCCTCCAGATGCAGGGACTGCACAACCTAGTATCCTGACCTCCCACGGCAAGAATGGCATTCAAAGGAAACCCCTAAGAGCTTATCAGGATTGGGACCTTCAAATCATGAAAGCAATTCAGCTGAGAGATAAAAGGGGGAAGATAAGGATCAAAGCAGTGGCGTCACTTTTGGCAGCGCACATGTACAAGGTGTGTTGGAAGGCAACCTCTTTGTCCCTGCTTTGCTCCATTGCTCTGCAGAGAAGAAGCCGGAGAATTGCAAAATGGTAAGTGGGACTTTTGGGGGGATTTCCTCCATCTTTTCTGCATGGATCCTTCAATCATGGGCCTTTAAGTTGTTTCCAGCTAAAATTTAGTTTTCATGCCTTAGATTAAATCTGTGTTTTGTCCCAACCCAAGAGAATCCAGTGAGTCACAGTTGGGATCAGTTCTGTTGATGGGCGACTCATATTGAAAGGGATTCCATTGCTTGTGTCCAAATCTTCCAGGTACTGCAAGTCCCATCAGCCTTAGCCAGTGGTGCAGTATGCTGGGAGCTGCAGTCCAATAACATCCAAACTTTGATGTAAATGTGATCCCAAACTTTGGTTTAAACCCCACCGGTGGGAGGGCTAGATATATAAAGAAAAATGCATTATTATTATTATTATTATTATTATTATTATTATTATTATTATGGCATTTCTTTTCATTATTATTACTACTACTACTAATAATAAGTAAAGATTTAAGTACATATATAAAGAAAAGGAATGCATTATTAATAATAATGAAAAGAAATGCAATAATAATAATGCACTAATAATAATAAGTAAAGATTTAAGTACATATATAAAGAAAAGAGCCACTGGTGGTGCAGTGGGTTAAAGCACTGAGCTGCTAAACTTGTTGACCATAATGTCGCAGGTTCGAATCTGGGGAGCGGCGTAAGCTTCCGCTGTCAGCCCAGCTTCTGCCAATCTAGCAGTTCAAAAACATGCAAATGTGAGTAGATCAATAGGTACCGCTCCAGCGGGAAGGTAACGGCGCTCCATGCAGTCATGCTGGCCACATGACCTTGGAGGTGTCTACAGACAACGCTGGCTCTTCAGCTTAGAAATGGAGATGAGCACCACACCCCAGAGTCGGACACGACTGGACTTAATGTCAGGGGAAAACCTTTACCTAACCTATAAAGAAAATGAATGCATTCTTATTATTAATGAAGAGAAATTCAATAATAATGCACTAATAATAAGTAAACATTTAAGTACATATTTAAAGAAAAGGACTGCATTATTATTGTTAATAATAATGAAAAGAAATGCAACATCATTATTATTAATATTACATTTCTATTAATATTATGATTAATATTAATAGTATTAATATTATTGTTAATGAAAAGAAATGCAATAATAATGCATTATTATTGCATTTCTTTTCATTATTATTAACAATAAGTAAATATTTAAGTACATATATAAAGAAAAGGAATGCTTTATTATGATTACTGTTAATAATAATGATGATGCATTATTATTATTGCATTTCTTTTCATCATCATTATTAACAATAATGATAATAATTCATTTTTTTTTCTTTATATAAGTACGTAAGTCTTCACTTAAATCTCATGACTCAGTCATACATGATTCAAAAGAAAGAGCAGGGTACTGAGTATATGGAGCATACATTATTGTTAATAATGTATGCTACATATGCTCAGAGGCACCCTGCTCCTACTTTTGAATCATGTGTGACTGAGTCATGAGATTTAAGTCAATCTTTTATTTCTGGAAGGCCAGGCCTGTTTGTGTAGTTGATAGAAAAGATAAAGCCTTGACAGAACAATGGCCCTGATCAAGGCTAAGCTTTTTTCTCCCTGTAACAAAACAAACCTCCGCTAGCTGTAAGCTTAAGTATTCGGACAGATTGGTATCGGTGTGAAAAGGAGGAAGTAATGTCCTTGTGAAAATTCATGAGAAAATCCTCCAGTCTTATTGAAAATGTGTCTGAAAGGCAGCATATCCTTCAAAGGTCCTGATTTGAATGGACAGTCCTGATTTAATTCTCTGCTCTCCCTCTTTTTTGGCAGCCTTTGAAATGTCCCAGTTTCTTTCTCCTCTTTTGTCCTCAGTTTTTTGCTTGCTGAAAATAATAATAATAACAACAACAACAACAACAATGGTGATTATGATGATTTTCAATGAATCATTTGGGCCACATAGTGGTGCCTCTGTTTGTTGTTCTTCTGTTTGATTTTCTTGCAGCACTGAGGATATGATCAATGGTTTCATCAGCTTTCCTGCACAGTCTGCATTTTGGATCATCAGCTGATTTTTCAATCCTGGCCTTAACTGTATTTGTTCTACTTGTTTACTCTTAAGCTGCAAGAGTGAAACCATTGATCATATCCCCAGCTGCTGCAAGAAAATCACACAGACAGACTACAAACAGAGGCACAATTATGTGGCCCAAATGATTCATTGGAAATTATGTCACATGTACCACCTACCAATAGTAAAGAACTAGTAGGGTCATAAAACTGCAAAGGTACTGGAAAATGAACATGCAAAAATACTGTGGTACTTTTGAATTCAGACTGACAAAGTTTTGGAACACAATACACCAGACCATCATGATTGTGAAAAAAAAAATGGAATTATTGATGTTGCCATACCAGGTGACAGTCGAATTCACAAAAAACAACAGGAAACTCAGCTGTTATCAGGACCTCAAAAATGAACTGCAAAGGCTCTGGCGTAAACCAGTACAGGTGGTCCCACTGATAAACAGCACACTGGGTGCTGTGCCAAAAGATCTCAGCGGGCATTTGGAAACAATAAACATTGACAAAATCACAATCTGTCAACTGCAAGAGGCCACCTTACTTGGATCTGCACGCATCATTCGAAAATACATCACACAGTCCTAAACGCTTGGGAAGTGTTCGACTCGTGATTTTATGATACGAAATCCAGCACATATATCTCGTTTGCTGTGACATACTGTGTTTTTATGTCAGTAAAGTAATAATAATAATAATCCACCCTCTAAACAGCATGGGGAATGGGATTGAACCCTGAGGGATCCCACAGACCATCAAGTAGGGAGCCCCCCAGCTCCTCCATCTGGGTCCGCCCCTCCAGGAAGGACTGGAGCCACTGTAGAACAGTGCCTCCAATCCCCATCCCAAAGAGATGGTCCAGAAGGATACCATGGTTGATGGTATCGAAAGCTGCTGAGAGGTCCAAGAGGACTAGCAGGGATATACTCCCCCTGCCTAGCTATCTTTGTAGATCATCCACCAAGGCGATCAATGTCGTATCTGTCCCATGGCCAGGCCTGAAACTAGATTGGGATGGATCCAGATAATCAGTTTCATCCAAGAAACTTTGGAGTTGTGAAGCCACCACCTTCTCTAGAACCTTGCCCAGGAAGGGAAGGTTTGACATTGGCTGGTAGTTACTCAGTTGAGTGGGATACAATGCCAGCTTCTTTAATAAGAGCCTTACTATTCCCTTCCTGAAACTGATTGGATTATGCCTTGGGCCAGGGAAGCATTAACCAGCACCTTCACCCACTCTGCCAGCCACCCCCCCCCCCACGGCCGATTTAATGAGCCAGGATGGGCAAGGGTCCAGAGAACAAGTGGTTGCTCTTATTCCTCCCAAGATCTTGTCTACGTCCTCTGACTGAATAAGTTGGAAGGAATCATGACAAACAGATGCCTCAGTTATTTCCACTGAGACTGCATTAACACTGGTGTCTGAGTGACTTTATCTGCAAAGAACCTTGCAAACTCCTCACAATGAGCTGCTGATTGGTCAGGGATCCCTGGCTGAGCAGGGTTTAATAGTCCTCTCTGACCACTCGAAGCAGCTCTCTAGGGCAGTTCTGTGCAGACGCAATGTTGACAGCAATAAACGATTTTTCTGCCGCCTTCATTGCCACGGAGTAGGCTCTTAAATGGAGGTCAAAATGCCCAAACACTTTGCCCTCAATTAATCTGGTATTTTCGCCAAGCTCCGAATGACGAGGCTCCTGTTAACAAAGCCTTTGGTTGAGTCACACACTCTCCGCTGCAGTGGAAGGTTGAGTTTTGGGAAAGGGGTGGAATTTGGGACCTGTTTGCAGCAGTATCTTGGTTCACCTTGAAGGGGACTTATTACTTCATCACTTCCCTCCTTTTCCACGCAGTTGGTGCTGGTGTTAGGCGACCTTCACATCCCACATCGATCTGGCAGCCTCCCGGCCAAGTTCCGAAAGCTCTTGGTTCCTGGGAAGATCCAACACATCCTCTGCACTGGGAATCTCTGCACCAAGGAGACTTATGACTACCTGAGGACCCTGGCTGGGGATGTTCATGTGGTCAGAGGGGACTTTGATGAGGTAGGGAGGCGCATGAGGTCCTTCTTCTTGACTGGTGGGAGGCTTGGCATGGAAAGGAAGCCAGGGTTTGCAGATCTTGAAGGTTCTTGCGTGGAGTGGGAGCTCTGGTTCTCAAATGAGGGAGGCTTTGCATGGAATGGGAGCCTCGGTTTGCAGATTGGTGTGTGTGGGACAGGAGTTCTGATTTTCAAATGAGGGGTGATTTTTTTTTAGTATGGTATGGGAACTCTAATTTGCAGACTTGCATGAAATGGGAGTCTTGGGATGCAGACTTGCTTGGAATGGGAGCCTTGGTTAATAAACTGGGGAGAGTTTTGTATGGGACAGGAGTCCTGGTTTTCAAATAAGGGAGGGTTTTTTGCATGAACGGGAACCTTGATTTGCTGACTTGCCTGGAATGGAGGTCTTGGTTTGTAGACCAGAAGATTTTTGCATGGAGCAGGAGCTCTGATTTGCAGATTGGGAGGGTTTTTGTTAGTTCCCACTACAAGCTTGCAAACTTGTTTGGAGACTGTCGAGGTCCTTGTGTTAGACAGGACCTCTGTTATGCAAATGAGGGAGGTTTTCATATGGAATGGGAACTCTGATTTCAGACTAGGGAGGTTTTGCATGTAATTGGAGCCAGTTTGAAGACTGTGGAGGGTTTTGCATGGGGCAGGAGGTCTGGTTTGCAATTGAGATTTGTTTGATTTTTTATTTTTTTTTTGGCATGGAATGGGAATTCAGATATGCAGACTTGCATGGAATGGGAGCTTCGGTTTGTAGACCAGGGAGGTTTTGGCATGGGGCAGGAGTTTTGGTTTGCAGACTTTAGAGGCTAACCCTGTTCTTTTCCAGGGGCTGAGTTACCCGCAGCAGAAAATTGTCACTGTTGGGCAGTTTAGAATTGGTTTAATTCACGGCCATCAGGTGATTCCCTGGGGCGATCTAGCTAGCTTGGCCATTCTGAGGAGGCAGCTGGACGTCGACATCCTCATTTCTGGACACACCCACAAGTTTGAGGCATTGGAGCATGAGAAGAAGTTCTACATTAACCCAGGGTCGGCCACTGGTGCCTACACTGCCTTGGAAAGGTGAGAGCAAGCTGCTTTGTGAGGTTTATTTCTTAAAATCTTAACCCTACATTTGGCTATTTTGGGTGCTTGAGTGTGCTTGCTAGTTTTGGTTATTCATATATATATATATATATATATATATATATATATATATATATATATATATTTAAAAATCTCAATTACCTTTCATTTCAGATACAAAGAAGTGTGCAATTATCGGTCAATTCTCAACCATTCTACCTTACTGATGAGTTGCTATTTCTGTGATTTTTGTACTTGTGATTTTGAAGTTGCCGCTTCAACATTTCTAATAGAAATACTCTGTTCTCTCCAGGAATATCATTCCTTCATTTGTTCTGATGGACATCCAGTCTTCTACAGTTGTAACGTATGTGTACCAGCTCCTTGGAGATGATGTGAAGGTGGAACGGATTGAATTTAAGAAGATCTCAAATGTCTAAAGCTTTCCATGCAACACCATTTCTTCCTTCATTTTCTTCACTTGTCGCAGCTTCACTGCAGCCTCATGTCATTTTTAGTAGGGATTTACCTCGCAAAGCTTCACAATCTCCAATCCTCACAGAGAAGCTTATATAGTAAGTCCCTATCAAAAATGGCAGCAACAGTGGCAAAGCCCACCCCAGAGGGATTGTCCACGTGGTCTGAAGTGTCCACATTTCCCTTTGCAATAAACCTAGTTTTGTAATGTGTGTCTCTGGAGGAGAATAATCCTTGATGCTCTCCCCTTGGTGATGGAATTGGAAAAAAAGCATGCTGGATGGACAGACTGGAAACTTCCAAACACCTATTTCTTTATTTTCTTCCTTTATTTCTTTGCACTCTGCCTGTTTCCCAAGAACAGGACTTAAGGAGGTTTATGATGTATTATATGGTGTATTATAAAATATGTGAAAACATCAGATAAAGATAATAAATATAAAAGTACTTTAAAAATCCTACCAACTGTAAAGCCTTTTTTGTTGTTATTTATTCGCTCAGTCGTTTCCAACTCTTTGTGACCTCATGGACCAGCCCATGCCAGAGCTCCCTGTTGGCCGTTGCCACTCCCATGACTTTCAAGGTCAAACCAGTCACTTCAAGGATACCATCCATCCATCTTGCCCTTGGCTGATCCCTCTTCCTTTTTCCTTCCATTTTCCCCAGCATCATTATCTTCTCTAAGGTCTCCTGTCTTCTCTTTATGTGGCCAAAGGGCCATCTTTGCCTCTAATATTCTTCTCTCCAATGAGCAGTCAGGCATTACTTCCTGGAGTATGGACTGGTTTGATCTTCCTGCGGTCTAAGGCACTTTCAGGATTTTCCTCCAACACCACAGTTCAAAAGCGTCTATCTTCCTTTTCTCAGCGTTCCTTATGGTCCAGCTCTCACATCCATAGGTTACTATGGGGAATACCACTTCTTTAACTATGCGGACTTTTGTTGCCAGTGTGATGTCTCTACTCTTAACTATTTTATCGAGATTGGTCATTGCTCTCCTCCCAAGAAGTAAACGCCTGTCTGCAGCATGCATCTACAGTAATCTTTGCACCTAGAAATACAAAGTATGTCACTACCTCCACATTCTCTCTCTCTGTTTGCCAGTTATCAATAAGTCTGGTTGCCATAATCTTGGTTTTTTAATGTTTAACTGCAACCCAGCTTTTGCACTTTCTTCTTCACCTTGGTTATAAAGCTACTCAGTTCCTCCTCGCTGTCAGCCATCATAGTGGTATCATTTGCATATCTTAGGTTGCTAATGTTTCTTGCAGCAATTTTAACTGCAGCCTTGTATTTGTCAAGCCCCGCATGTCACATGATGTGTTCTGCATACAAGTTAAATAGGTTGGGTGAAAGTATAGAGCCTTGCCGTACTCCTTTCCCAATCCTGAACCAGTCTGTTGTTCTGTGGTCTGTTCTTACCATTGCCACTTTGCCGTTTATTATACGGATTCCTCAGAAGACAGACAAGGTGGCTTGGTATCCCCATTCCACCAAGAATGTGCCAACATTTATTATGTTCCACACAGCCAAAGGCTTTAGAATAGTCAATAAAACAGAAAGAGATGTTCTTCTGAAACTCCCTGCCTTCCTCCATTATCCAGCAGATATTGGCTATTTGGTCTTTCATTCCTCTGCTTTTTCTAGAACCAGCTTGTACATCTGGCAACCCTCACTCCATGTTGCTGGAGTCTACCTTGCAGGATCTAGATCATTACCTTACTGTCATGAGAAATAAGTGTCTCTGTACAAAAGTTTGAGTATTCTTTAGCATTTCCCTTTTTTGGTATGTAGTTATAAATTGATTATTTATTTATTTATTTATTTATTTATTTCATTCACTTATACCCCGCCCTTCTCACCCTTAGGGGGACTCAGGGCGGCTTACATAAAGGGCACAATTAGATGCCCAAATCACACAACAAGTAATCCAAAAAATATAAAATTCAGCAGTTAAGTTAAAAACAACAATACATAATAAAACATAATCCTAAAAACAATCTCATGTCAGAGTCCATATGTCAGAGTCCATACATCCGTTCTATTCCATTTGTCCTTGTCTATCACCGCTTTAGTTAGTTGTCAGCATGACCAAAAGCTTGGTCCCACATCCAGGTCTTTAGTTTTTTCCTAAATGCTAGAAGGGAAGTCGCCGATCTGATCTCCCCGGGGAGTGAGTTCCACAGGCGGGGGGCCGCCACTGAGAAGGCCCTGCTCCTCGTCCCCGCCAGCCTCACTTGTGACACTGGCGGGGTCGAGAGCAGGGCCTCCCCAGAAGATCTTAAACTTCGAGGTGGGACGTAGAGGGAGATCCGTTCGGACAAGTACACTGGGCCGGAACCGTATAGGGTTTTATAGGTCAAAACCAGCACTTTAAATTGTGCTCGGACTTGGATCGGCAGCCAGTGGAGCTGACGCAACAGGGGGGTGGTGTGCTCCCTGTACGCCGCTCCGGTGAGCAATCTGGATGCTTCTCGCTGAACTAGTTGGAGTTTCCGAGCAGTCTTTAAAGGCAACCCCACGTAGAGTGCGTTGCAGTAATCCAGCCGGGATGTGACAAGAGCGTGGACCACCGTGGCCAGATCCGACTTCCCAAGGTACGGGCGCAGCTGGCACACAAGTTTTAATTGTGCAAAGCTCTCCCGGCCACCGCTGAGACCTGGGGTTCCAGGCTCAGCGATGAGTCCAGGATCACTCCCAAGCTGCGAACCTGCGTCTTCAGGGGGAGTGTAACCCCGTCTAACACAGGCTGTAACCCTATACCCTGTTCGGCCTTACGACTGACCAGTAGGACCTCTGTCTTGTCTGGATTCAGTTTCAATTTGTTAGCTCTCATCCAGTCCGACACAGCAGCTAAACACCGATTCAAGGTCTGGACAGCCTCCTTGGTGACAGGTGAGAAGGAGTGACAGATTTGGACGTCATCTGCATAGAGATAGCATCTTAGTCCGAAACTCCGAATGATCTCTCCCAACGGCTTCATGTAGATGTTAAATAACATCGGGGACAAGATTGAACCCTGTGGGACTCCACACAACAACGGTTGTGGGGCCGAACAGGTGTCACCCAATAACACCTTCTGGGTCCGTCCCTCTAGGAAGGATCGGAGCCACCGCAAAGCAGTGCCTCCGAGCCCCATATCCATGAGGCGGCCCAGAAGGATACCGTGATCGACGGTATCGAAGGCCGCTGAGAGGTCCAGCAGAACCAACAGGGACACACTCCCCCTGTCTAGTTCCCTGCGCAGATCATCTACCAAGGCGACCAAGGCTGTCTCAGTTCCATGTCCCGGCCTAAAGCCAGACTGTGCCGGATCAAGATAATCAGTGTCTACCAGAAACCCCTGGAGTTGTGTTGCCACCACACGTTCCATGACTTTGCCCAAATAGGGGAGATTGGAAACTGGCCGATAGTTGTCGAATTGAGTGGGATCCAGTGATGGTTTCTTCAACAGCGGTTTTATAATAGCCTGTTTTAGGCTCGCTGGAAACTCTCCTTTCTGTAAGGAGGTATTAACCATCACCTTCACCCACCCCGCCAAACCCCCTCTGGCTTCCTTGATCAGCCAGGAAGGGCAGGGGTCTAGGATGCATGTGGTGGGTCGCACTTCTCCAAGGATCCTGTCCACATCCTCAAGCTGAACCAATTGAAACGAATCCAACAAAACTGGACAAGCAGGTGCTCTCGTTACATCCCCAGAAACTGCCGTTAACATGACGTCGAATCCAGACCGAATCCGCTCAATTTTATCCGCGAAGAATCGAGCAAATGCTTCACAGCGAGCCATCGAGTTATCCGAGGCCTCGCTTTTTGGCGGATTTAACAGGCCCCTGACAACTCGAAAAAGCTCAGCTGGACGATTCTTCGCTGATGCAATATTGGCTGTAATGAATGTTTTCTGAGCTGCCTCTATTGCCACACCGTAGGACCTTAAAAAGGTATTCAGGTGTGTTTGGGCTGGATTGGTGGGATTCTGGCGCCACACGCGCTCTAACCTCCTCTTCTTTCGCTTCATTGCTGCCAGCTCCTCAGTGAACCAAGAAGCTGGTTTAGCTCGGTTACTCGAGAGGGGGCGTTCCGGAGCGATAGTGTCAATTGCCCTGGTCAACTCACTATTCCAGCCAGAGACCAGAGCATCGACAGTGTCGCTAGCCAAGAAGGTGGAAAAATCCCCAAGAGCCGTCAGGAAACCATTTGGATCCATCAGTCTCCTGGGGCGGACCATTCTAATGGGTCCACCACCCCTGCGAAGGTTAGAAGGCACAGTTAGTCTAAAACTGATCAGGTGGTGATCGGTCCATGGCAAAGGGGCGATGGTCGGCTCCTCCATTCCGTCACCCTCATCCCATCCCTGAATGAAGACCAAATCCAGGGTGTGTCCGGCACTATGGGTGGGACCAGATATTAGCTGGGACAGGCCCATGGTTGCCATGGCGGCCATGAAGTCCTGAGCTGCTCCTGAGAGAGAGGCCTCGGCATGGATGTTGAAATCTCCCAGGACCAAAAGCCGTTGGAAGTTCAACACCATGTCCGAGACCACTCCCGCTAGCTCAGGTAGGGAGACTGTAGTGCAGCGGGGTGGTCGGTACACTACCAGAATCCCTATCCTGTCCCGGTCACCTATCCTAAAGCCGGCACATTCAAAGGAAGATGATTGTGGGATGGGACACCTGATCAGTGGGATATAGTCCTTATAGACCACTGCGACTCCGCCTCCCCGCCCTCCAAGCCTTGGTTGGTGCTGAACAGAATAACCTGGTGGACAGAGTTGGGAGAGATTAACCCCTCCCCCCTCGTCCAACCATGTTTCTGTTATACAGGCCAGGTCGGCTTGTTCTTCTTGGATTAGATCTTGTATGATGAAGGTTTTTCCATTTACCGACCTGGCATTGAACAGCACCACCTTTAGCTTGGAGGGGCCACCATCTTGGCACCTCAGTTGTATTTTGTCAGGAGTAAGTTT